TAATAAAATTTGTGTATTTTGTCATGGTAAGTATACGTTGGGTGGGATTCCGATTCCCCTTCACTTGCCCTCCTGCCTTTTCTTTTCTTCATAAAAATACTAATTAAGAAAAAGGATATTTATAGAATGTTAATTAAAATAAAAATATATTAAAATCATAAAAGAATGTAAATTGAGTCTACTTTAAAGAGAATTAAGACAATCACATGTAAATATTTTATACTAATTCTTACTTGAGAAATTAGGAGTATAACATTTTTTTTTGATATTAAACATTATAGAAAAGTATAGTAGTATTTTATTTATTTTTTCAATTTATAAGTAAAATGTCTTGCACAAAGAGGAGCTAGTTTGTGAGTCAAAAGATACATTAAATACCCTATTTGTAACCTCGAGTTCTATTGATATCAATGGAGCAGGAGACCTAACTTTTCTTCGCTAATTAAATTTGCTCTGTTTCTTTGCAAGAACCGTACACGGTTTTTGGGAGAAGAAACTAATTTAATTCTTTATGAGAATTAAAGGTTAACTCACTTGTACAAAGCTTAATTCCATGAAAAAAAATTAATTAAAGGGTTGATTTGAATATATCGAACCTTTAAACACAATCCCAAATTTTTCTATAATAATCCCGAATATAATTCATGTTTTTATTTATTTACATATTTGTAAATACCTTATAAAATTGTCATTGAACACATATTTTTAAAACTGAAAGAAAATATTATTTGAAAAAAATAATAATACTACAAAAGAGCACCAGAAAAAAACATCCCCACGGCACTCTTTTTATAGCTTAATTGTTTTGATATATGTGATACTAAATTATATAATAAAAATAATCTTGTTTTATCTGATAAATCTAATTTCATTCGTTTTAAAGTGTCTTTTTCGAAATTTTCAAAATTTATGAATTTTTTTTAGGGTTGGGAAGATGGGGATGGGCCATGGGATTAGTTACTGCTCCTTTAGTCTTCCAATTCCTTCACCAAGCAGGTGAAGTTTTTGACTTTCCATAGAAAAGCTTGATATATAAAAACATTTGGACACACAATTTTCTTCCCTTGTTTTCTTGTCAAATATTATTTTAATTCTTCACGTGGCAGCTTCTTCTGTCAATATGATCAATCCAGTAAATTACTATTAAATTTTACTACCCTGAATGGCCTAGAATTTTTTTTTCTCTTTTGGTTTGTAGCTTTATTAATTTTTAATTAAAGAAAAAAAATATTAAATATGCTTTTCGTGTACAAGATGATTTCTGATTATAGGCTTATAGATTTAAGAAACTACTACGGGAGACTATTAGAATTTATTAATGGGATGGGCAAGCTGGGGGCGGGGACATCGACCCAAACTTGCTTGCCTTCACGTATAGTTTGTGCTTAACGGAAAAAAGAAGTGAAGAGTTTTCTTGAAAACAAAACATGCATGTGCCTGTCTATTAATTAATGCAGTGGAAACCCCAGAATCACATGTGGATCAGTGTCCAGGCATGGTTCAAGCACGACAATTTAGGAGTAGACACGTTAATGCAAAAACCCTTTTGTAATCATATAAAAAAAGTTGCCCTTAATTATCCCTTAAACTTCCATTTTTATTTTATTTTATTTTTCCATTTCTTAAGGTTTGAAAATAAAATTTCCAAATTATGATTCTCGGGGCCTTAATTATTTTGGTGTTTTCTTGAAGAAATTTATTATATGGTTATTTGCATGGAATATTTTTTTGAGAAAAATGTTTGTTTTTATTGTTGATAAAACACAAAAATAAAAAAACCAAGTTACCAAAATGTTACATTGTGTGGACTGAGCTAAGTTAGCAAAGACCTAACTTAGCTTTCCATTGGCCCACGTTAAAGCTTTTGACAAGGCCTGGGCTTAACTTTTTTAGAGGTTTAGAGACAAGTTTGTTTCTATAAGTAGCCCACTTGGCTTCAGGGCTCGTGAATGGCTACTTCACCTTTTTCCTGGAATTAATGGGATTAATTAGAGAAATACATAACAATAATGAAGTATATATGGAACAATATGTATGGAAGAGCATCACGACATCTAGATCATGATGTTACATTCTTGATCTGCTATCATGATATTATATTCCATTTTCATGAAAAGGACCTGTTAAAATAACAAAGTGGAATTATTATTCCATGGCTTCATGCAAAGAAATCTAACACAAGCGACCGTTTTTATTTTGCTGGCTAGCAAATTGATTGATGGTGTCAAGCTTTAGGCAATAACCCATCATTTTTTTCATGATCATCTTGATAAGCAGCCAAGGAGTGGAATCGGACAAAAAGAGGAAGAAAATGGGTAGTCCCATCTATTCATAACTGTAAAGGTAGCTCAATTAAAGGCCCCTGTGGCATCCGTTGTTTGTTTCTTGAGTCTTGACTCGAAGCTCCTCGATCGCCATTCCTGCCTACCAGAGATTTTGATGTGAAGTCCATTGGGAAATATCAGGCCAGGCCTCCGAACAATGTCCCCTCCTTTCATCACTGTCCACCTGATGATAATTATATTTCATTTTTATTATTTCAATTGATCTTGAACCTGCATTAGGGACTCGAAAATGTTAATCTAATACCTGTATCTTGTGACCATGTAATGGATGAAAATGGCCATCTGAAGCTTGGCAAAGTCAGCTCCAACACAGAGCCTTATACCTCCACCGAAGGCCATGAAACTCTTGGATCCCGCATGCAACTCTTGTCCCTGTATTGCCTTTTGGTTTTAATTAAATTTGGAAATAAATGGAATGTTTGATATGCAACATTCATTGGAATTTACCTCCCATCGCCATGGATTAAATTGAAGAGGGCTCTCGTATTTGTTGGGACTCAAATGAACAGAAGCTGGGACAACCATCACCAACCAACCTGCTGGTATTGTGTACCCTGCACAAGCAACATCTCCTTAGTTTAGCTTTCAGGATACCCGATCTCTTATTAATTCAAACAAGTTCTTGAGAAGTAATCAAGATTGGATCACTTTGGGACTATTTCATCGATTCAGAACTTACCCTTTATCTCAACATCTTTCACCACTTTTCTGAAAATTCCTGGAACAATATTTGCTAGCCTAACTGTTTCATTGATAACCTGAGATACAAGCAAGAGTCAAGTGTACACTGTCATTGAAAAGGGCATAAATTGAATCTATAAAAAGAATTAATTGCTAGTAATTAACAGGTTTTGGGAGCAGCAGTCACCATATGTGTGAAAGTCATTGATTTATATTCTTGCCATGTAAGTTCAGAATTCTCATGTCCGCGGCTTTTAATGATAGCCTCGTGCTCTTTCTGAAAATTAAAATATCATAGATTGATTTAGTTAGTTTTGGGCCATTAATTTGAAAGGGTTTTTCTTTTCTATAACTTTTTATAGAAGAAGCACTTGATTTGCACAAACTGTTAATTCTTCGAGGACTTGGTGATGATCAGCAATAAACTTGACTGCTAATGTGGTGGCTGCAGAAATAGTCTCATGAGAAGCAAAGAGAAGCACAAAGACCAAGTCTTTGGCAATTTGCTCTGTTAAAAACGTGTCTTCTCTCTCCACTTCATTGAGTAAATACTCTAAGAAATCATTGTGATGACCCTTTGATGCTTTCCTCTTTTCAAATATATCTTTAATCACCTTGTAGGCCTTTTTACGACCCTGAATCAGATTCAACTAGGATACTTGAATGAGAACTTGAGAAAGCAAAAAATTTCTGTTGAGATTTAGGGTATATATGTTTGTCTATTTCTAATACCTGTAAACATGCATGATAAGCAGTCCCTGGGATGTTTAAAGGAAACGAGATAAGACCATCCATGAAGGCTTGGAAACTGTCTCTCAATTTCCTGTTTGGATCCATGTTTTCATCATACCCAATGAGTTTCTTTGCAAAATATTCGAATATCATCTGTCAAAATGCAAACAAAGGTATGTTGTTGCCATAAGCCAGAAAAAAAATAAACATATGGATCATAGGCAAAATGCTTGCATAAATTATAAATATACCTTAGAAGATCCTTCTTTCACGTCGATTCTGCCAAGGCTAGCCCAGGAGTTAAGATGTTTGCGGGTCGCTTTATCCATTACAGGAAGTAGTTTCCCCTTAAGGTTTTCAGGGCTAACAAGCTGAAGGATTAAGTTCTTGAGGTACTTGTGAACCATCCCATGCTGTGTGACCAGGCTTTGTTGGCCAAAAATTTCTAAGAAACTCTGTGTATACCAGAGCAAGAACGACTTGTTTTCTTGTTGAAAGATTTCATAATTGATTACTGGATCAGTTGATACAACAACCTTCTGACCAACTAAGCTAGTTCGAAACACTGCCCCATATCTGAAAAAAGGAAATTAAGTAAAAACAATTCGTTAATTTTATTAGTACCATTGCTTGAACTCTAAATTGGATTCTTGTGATTGAGCTACAAGCCTACAACGTCTCCCAATATCCATCCAAAATGGAAATGCCATGAACATATCGTTAGTTACGTTTTGTGTCTCTTAACTGTGGAATTCAATTACACTGTCATGAAAGCAAACTGTGATGAGCTTACCTTCGCGTTCTTTTGCTGATGAATGGTGGGATGTCGTACAAAGAATGGGGAGAGAAGAACTGAGTTGTCTCCCCAATGAAGGGCAAGCCCATTGAACCAGGTGGCAGAACCCCATCACACTTGGGGTTTGCCCAATTATGCACCCAACGGCTAATCCAAACAACGAGCAAAGCTACAAGGCAAAGAACCGCCCCCCACATTTCGAATTACCTGGCTTGGGGTATTAGACTAAGAGTCTGTCTGATGAGAAGAAGTATATGGTTTTCTCTACGCATTTGTGTGGACATCAATGGCATTTGCAGGGGGCTCTTATAATGGCACTGGAGAATCTCATCACTTGCTGTTGGCGTAGCCTCTCACCAGCATATTTGGGTCAAATTTCATCACTAAATTTAAAAATTAAAGAAATTGAGATTTTGGGTTTTATGAAACCTTAATTCAAATTTTCAAAATATTTGAAAGTGTTTTAAGAAAAATTTATATTTTTGATGTCAAAAATTAAGAGAGAAATAATAAAATGATTTAGATTCGAGAATATTTATTAAGGAATTGAAAGGATTTGAGGGAAAAAGATGTTTGGTGTAAGCTTCAAGAATACTTAAAATTGAACGTTCAAACTTTTAATTGCAGTTATTTATCTATTGATAGATAGTATAATTTATCAATAGATAATATGATTTATTGATAAAATTTTTTATCTATCGATAGATTTGCTTTTGGATAATATTTTTATTTTTAATTTTTATAAGTTTAAGGTAAAAATAAATACTTAGTAATTTTACATATTTTAATATTTAAATAATTAACATAAAAATATTATGTTATTTTTCAATGTTATTATTTATTATTTTAATGGCTTAAAATTGAAAAGTAAAATTTTATATTAAAAATTATAAATTTATTCAACTTATATGTTTTTTTATATATAAAGGTAATTTTGCCAATTTTATTTTGTCAATTTATATTATATTCTTAATAAAATACTCACAAACCAAACACTATAATGTAATCTTTTCAACAATCGTATTTCTTACAATTCACTTTCTTTTATTATATCAAACGCTACAAAGTTATATTCTCAACAATCATATACCTAATAATCATATTTTCAATAATCGTATTTCTAATAATATACTAAACTTAACCTAAAGTTTATGTTTGGACCAAAATCTAGAAGCAAAGGCAGAATTGAATTGCCTTAGGCCACAGGAATCTTTCCGTTAATATTGCACATAACAAGTGTGCCCTTTATCATTGTTAGTTTATTGTCTGTTGACATCTTTTACAATCATAATAAATGATAAAAAATTTTAATTTTAAAAAATTAACTAATTAAAATATATTTTTTTAGTAAAAAATCACTTCAACATTCACGTATCCATCCGGAAGATGTCATAGATTTCATAAACATTAAAGTCATGTGAATAAACATTATGACTTATAGATCTATAGACTATAGTCATTTCAAGCTCTAAACTAAACCACTAAACCCGCAAACAAGTATATAATGGTCCTTAGCAGACAGTTAACGTTTAAAATCGATGATTAATTTCTTCATATGCTTAATTTTCGTGCACCATTGTCTAATTTCTGGTTGGATTTATATAGAAGAAACACATGAATATAGATTACGATTTAATTGGATATACAGTACAAATCGGTACAATGAGCCCACCAGCATGTGATATATGTGCCAAAAATAATAATAATGCAACGGATATGCCGGTGTAAAGTATCATTTACAGGGTAACATGCATAACACCAGGTATGGTGTTCTTTGTACAGCACAAAAAATCAACTTCCTACATAGCATTTATGTGATGAGAAACGTATCATTCTCCTTACTAGAGACTTGCGAGCATGACATTCAACAAAAACCACCAGAAGGCCTCGTTCCTGCTTGGACTTGGTTTACAATTAGAGAGTCAATTTATATTTCCAAAATAAGGTTTCCTTGTGTTAATCATTTTTTTCTTTTCCCTTTCCAGAATGAGGAAAAAAACTGATGGAAGAAGCCTTTCTCTCATACCAGAAGCCAGGTTACAGTTTTGGGCCTTGTGAGTTATGGACCAATCGTGCTTCGGCTGCGCCCCTCTGATTGAAGAATGATAGAAATGGAAGGAATATAGCACAGAACCAGAACTAGAACCAGCATTATTCTTCATGTAAAATCAAGGTTCCATCTTCATTCTTATCAGTACTTTCCCTCGTTTCAATTTGCAATAAAAAAACTTGAGGAACAGCCTGAGCATTGTAACTTTCAACTAGAGAAAAAGTGTCCATCTCTGCTGCAATAGTTAACCTCTAATTTGTTCTAAAGTCTTATGTTAGACCTTCATTCATTATAGTGCAAAATGCTGAGGACTGTTCCAGCACTCGTGCTTTTACAAGAATTTCACTCTGTGGTCTGTGTTGAAATCGCTAGCTGATATATAATTTTGTTACGATCAGCAGAAACTAATTGTAGAAAGGCTAGTTCTGGAACCTTTGGGCCTTGTTTGCACATGATGAATTGAACAATTGCCCTAGGCCTATGATGAGATTGGCCCCCTGGGGGTCTAAAAGGAAAACCAGCAGATGAACCGGTCATGGAACTGGTTTTTACATGGCAGTTTATATCCACTGTCATTGGAAAATTAAGTTCTGCAATACGCGGGCAGGGCAGGGAGAGATTGCCGCTTGCCAGCCTTCCGTGCCCCTCTCTCTTTCTCTTCGCTAAGCAGAAAAGAGAGAAGTTGATGGAATATGGGTTCAAAATTTAATCCACAAATTAGTCTGACCTTAACTCCTAGCAGACAAATTTAATTTAATGGATAATGTAACAGATAATCTCTGTCATTAGCTGAAACGTGTTAGTGGCACCAAGCCCCACGCCTTGTCCATATGCTCTTCTGACTCGGCTCCACGCAGAGAGAGACTTGGACTCTCCCCAGTGTCAACTCTCACCAAGTTGTTTATAACAAGAGAGTAGTCGAGAATATTTGAACCATAATGCATTCATTACATAATGCCAAAGAACCAATTTGGTTCTTTTTACTTTAATCATATCAAAAAGAAACTAGCTTGTTGCCTTTTTCATTTGTTTAGTCTCGTGAAAGTAGTGGCTGGGACGAATGTTGGTAGAAGATGACACTTTTTGGGTAGGGAAGTTTTAACCGGCGAGCAAAAAAAAGCACTTTTCTCAGTGAAAGTGCAGGTGCTGGTTAAAAGGGCAAAAAGAATAAAGTTGTGGGGATCTGCTTAATTGCATTCCTGTTACGAAGAAAGTATTGAAGTTCTTTTGTAAAGACAGCAGCAAGGCAGGCAGCAGGCAGCAAGCACCCTTCTCGTAGGTTACAGTGACATACAATCAATCACTGAGAATTGATAGAATTTAATGGACGACTGATCCCTCCCATAGCAGCCAGTGGTTGGAATGTGCACCGATGTAAAATCTGACCAATATCCTATGTCGTCAGGAATCAAAATTAATCATAACATAAGATCTGGATTTGAATAAATTTTATAAGGATACGTACGTTTAAACTGAAGACTTTACTATTTCTGATGTCAATCAATGAAGATTGTTATTGTTGATTTAGGTAAGACCCTGAATGAATGGCAGCCTCATCCGAATGAAGGACCACACTCGAAAGAAGAAAGAATCAGAAAAAGCGGAAAGACAGGGTGGCCTAGCTAGACTGGTGGAAGTGCAATTTGAATGAAATACGTATTCCATCCAGAAAAGCTTATGCGGCCTTATCAGTCATTAACAGAAATGATTCAGGCATCCAGGATTTGATTGAAGTGCGTATCCCAGGGGGATGTTGTTTCCAATGCTTTAAGGGATAAGATCTTTCTCAAGGCCACGAAAGAAAATTACAATCACTTCAGTACTGCTTCAAGCTCTATCCTCAACTTCTGTTTACTGTCAATATACGACTGCATGATTCTATATCTGTTCAAAACGGCCCGCCATACTTCTTTGTCTGCTTCCAACCTGTGTAAATCCCAATCAAGTTCTAACCAGTGTAACACTCCCCCTCTGATCTCTCTCTCTCTCTCTCTCTCTCTCTGTAGCAAACAAAGAAAGGTTTACATTTCATCTCAACCCAATCAATAAAACCATCTCAATCCATGAAATAGCATATTGGTGTTTACGAGTTCCACGTTTATACAAAGGGAAAGTTGGACGTCGGTGAGTCGGTAAACGAAAGCTTTAAGCCTCTAAATTATTAAGGGTTAAAACAAAGGTGGAAAAAATTACGGTTAATATAACTATCAAAGGAAGTCATGAACCTTATCAAATAGAAAAAGAAAAGAATTCTTGGTTGTTTACTTTGTTTTTCTGACACTTGTAAGTAGGAACGGAACTAATTAACTTTTATTAGAGAGGTTAACTAACTTTTATTAGATAGCTGAATAAAGGTTAAAAATTTTAAAAATTAATATATTGAATTTAATTAATAATCAAAAGGTTGTTAATAAAAAATAATTTTATATAATATGTAAAAAAAAAAACTTTCAATAGTTTTTTAAAAAAATTATGCTCGATTATATTTTCTGAATTCAAATTTGTTAATTAAAAATTATGTATTGAAAAAATTTATTTATTTAGGATTGAGTGTTAGACATTTTAATTCACATTACTTTTATTCATAAGTTGAAATATTAAGATTTAATGATTCAAGTGTAGAAATGTTTTCAACCTATTCATACTTAATCAAAATTGAAAAAAAAATTAATACATTCAATATCTAATGTTCTTATTTTATTTCTATCTAAATTTATAATACTAAATATAAAACTATAACGCATAAAATATAAATAGTTAAATAAGATATATAAACTAATTATTTTTCTTATATAATTAAGATGATTTAAAAACTATATATTAAAAATAATTTTTTTTCAACTAAATATAAAATCTAAAATATATAAAAAAGATATATTCAAGATAATTTCTTCTCACATAACTATGATTAATTAAAAAATAATATATTAATAAAATGTTAAGCAACAATGCAACATTATAACTTATATTTGAGAATTATATAATAATTTATTAATTTTTAAAAATTAAAATTATGTAAAATAAAATCTAAATAATAAAAAAAAAGAAACATAATAAGTATAAAATGAAACTTACAAATGACATAATAATAAAAAAATATATGATTGATAGTTTATAGAAAATTAAAAAAATAAATCTATAAAAACTTATAACATATAAGTAAATGGTATAATAAAATATAAATTAAAAAATAAAAATTTTAAAATTAAATGAAACAGGTGAGGTTTTTTATTTTTTATTTAAATTAATTATTAAATAAAAATTTATTAAAGAGATCATTAAAAGAATATAAAAGAAATTTAAAAATTTTGAAAGGTCATAGCCATCCTAAAATTATAGGAGGCTCCGCCACGAACTACAAAAGGAGATAAAAAAAAAAGTCACTTTTCTTTTTTCTGCAATTAAGGGGGGTCCAAACCTGTTAAAATGGATAAGGGCTTGGATTAAATTAATGTTAAACCGACAGCAATGTTCTTGGCTTGTGATGTAAAGCGATCTGGTTTAAACGGAAGGATCAAATCCCCTGCGTTCGGTTTCCAGCATCTATGTTTTGCTTTGAATATGGAAAAAAAGGAAAGAATATGTTGATAAGACTTTTTGCACGAAAGGGAGATGGACTGACCGAAAAAGTGCAAAGATTTCCTGCCATTAAAATCTAAACAAGAGACAAAAGGACAAGAGCAGATGAACTGCTGCAGTGTTCTGGCAAAAATGTTCTTCCTTTCCATTGTTGTCATCGGGGGCCAAATACAAGGCATCTTCCAAGACATTTGTCACACTATCAAGTAAATAGTCCGCCTAATGAAAAATGATAATCCGAGTAGCACAAGATTTGTAGCGGACGCGCCCAGTTGCAGCGCGTTGCAGCAGACGAAAGAGGCTAGGACCAAACCTACGACTACCAAGTCACGTAAGAAACTGACCCTTATAAATGTTGGAGTGGATAAGATCCCCCCCTCGTCCAGCTCAAGCCACCTGAGGCTGATTCAGAAACTCTCTTGTCTACACTTCTTGACCCTCCAAAAAATAAAGAAAAACTCCCTTTTCTGGACTCTTCTCCTTTTTCTCTTCTTCTTAGAATCAGCCATCCTGATGCGTGCACACAGAATTTAGCATCGTCGTCCAAATTTTCTTCTCTCTATTTCCTAAACGTTTATTTGTCTGTGTAACAGTGCATGCTGTTCGCAAGTATCAAACACGGGTGGCTTTGAATTTTCAGGGTTTTCTGTGTTTCTTCCTCAGATTTGAAATGACAAATTCTGTTTTATATTTCTCTGCATATCTCTATTTTTTCCCTCTTGTATTCGGTTGGACTTGACGTTGACTTCAGATTCATGTTCAGTGTTTAAGGCCCCTCTTTTCAGATTGTTTTTCTTGATCTCTGTGTTTAAAGGACCCCAAAATTTATATCCGTTTTCTGTTCCTTTTGGAGAACCCAAATTTAGGATAAACTTCTGGGTTTTGGGGTTCAAACTAGAAGGGACTTAATGGGTGCAAACATATCCGGTGCTGTAGCGGATGGCGATGGAGATGGTCCTCCATCGACGCCAAGACTCGGTGACATACCAGAGAGCTGTGCGGCATTGGTTTTGGCGCAGTTAGACCCACCTGAGATTTGCCAATTGTCTCTGTTGAACCGATCTTTTTGCGGCGCTTCATCGGCTGATTTTATATGGGAATCGAAATTGCCTTCCAATTATAGGTTCATTGTGGAGAAAGTGCTAGGAGACACAACTTTGTTGAATCTCCAGAAGAAAGAACTTTATGCCAGGCTGTGCAGGCCTATTCCCTTTGATGCTGGCACAAAGGTTCATATTTTTCACTAGTAATTCTTTTGGTCCCCTGTTTCTCACTCTCTCTTCCTTCCGTGTGGTTTTAGTTTAATGATACAATGTTGGCTTCTGGCTATCTGCAGGAGGTATGGTTGGATAAGAGTACAGGCGGGGTTTGTTTATCAATTTCTTCCAAGGCGTTGACAATTACAGGGATTGATGATCGAAGATATTGGAGTCATATTTCCACCGAGGAATCGAGGTGCGTTTATCATCTTGCTTCGTCGGATTTTAGCTTGTGCTTGTCAATTTTTACGAGTCACGACTCACGAGTCAAGGAAGCCTCGAACCAGGATTCAGACTTAAGACCACCCAGCACTTTAGCCGGGATCCCCTGTCTCTGGTCTAAATGCCCAGCAATCACTCAATTTGAATGATCTCTTAACTAGACAAGTTTAACACTGTACATTTCGTGTCTTTATGCTGAACCTTTTAGATGTTAGCGAGCAAGACAGATTTCATATATTAGATTACGGTTGAAACGAGCAAATTTGAGCATTCTGGATCCATCAACGAAAAAGGTTTAACAATGAAATCATTGAAACTTGACAAACCTGATGGCAGATTTTGACATTCCTTTGTTAACAAGTTGGTTAAGGCCCCACGAGTATGTTAGATCCATTTTGAGTGTGGATTCGTATCTTGATTGTGATTTTTTATTGCAATCTGTTCTGAATATGAAATGGCAGCCAGGGCAGTTTGATTGATATCTCTTTTCCCTTGATATGGCATGGCAGATATCCTACAGTAGCATACCTTCAGCAAATTTGGTGGTTTGAAGTGGACGGAGAGCTTGAGTTTCAATTCCCGGCGGGAACATATTGCCTATTCTTCAGACTCCAGCTTGGGAAATCCTCAAAGAGACTTGGTCGCCGGGTTTGTAACTCTGAGCACATCCATGGCTGGGACATAAAACCCGCCCGATTCCAGCTGACAACGTCAGACGGCCAACATGCTGTATCCCAGTGTTATTTAGACAAGCCGGGGAACTGGGTTTTCTACCATGTGGGTGATTTTATCGTCAAGAATCCTAATGCATTGACAAAAATCAAATTTTCCTTGACCCAGATTGATTGCACTCACCCCAAAGGAGGCCTTTGTGTTGATGCTGCTCTGATATACCCCAGTAGTGTAGGGAAAGAGTTTAGATCATCATGTTCATGAGAAATTGAGAGCTGTAAATATCGAATTGTAATCGAGCTAGCTTGGTTTCTGTTTACTGAAAAATAGAAGCTATATTGTTTTTGTTGATAAAGTATAAATCTTTTCTTCCAGTTATAGTTTTTCCTGGAAATAATAATTTTCTGCAAAATCTTGGAACCAGAAGTTGTATATCTGACATCAGGTTAGAGCAAATGTTTCGACATGACAGAAGTTGTCTGAGTTCATGAAACTTGAGTATCAGGTTGTTAACTAGTTTTGGAGCCAACAGCCCGACAGCAACTAGCAAATTAAATTGTTTTTGTCTCAAAAGTACAACATATTGCTTGAGTAGCCGGAAAGATATGCATTGACCCGACTGAATCCTTAATAGTTAGTATACCCTATTTCGATTTTTTTTTTTTCTGAAAAGCAAGTGTTGTATTCAAAAGAGAACTTTACAAAAATCTACCCCACAAAAACAGGGTAGAAACAGGGGCCGGGTTCCATCCCTAACACTTCCAGAGATGCAACCTGTCCCAATTCACATATCGAGTTTCTTCCGATTTGAATACTTTGACAATCTTTACTACATGTTTGCCTAACCTGTTCAAATATGCAAATCCTATTTTTCTCTTATAGGTTATTGACTTCCCAATTAGTATGTAGAGGGTACATTTTATGCTAATTAATGAAATCAGATTTGTTTTTGGGGAGAGATTTCATACATAAATTCTTATCTCTTTATCACAAATCTATTTTTTATGGCCATTAAATAACTTACACTGTATTTGGTTGCATGGGTATTAAAATGAGGGAAAAGCCGGAAAAGGATGGCAATGGGAAATGAATAATGAAAAAGCAAGAGAAAACTATATTCTCTCATTTGATAAATTGACATAAAGAAAGACAAAAAAAAAAAGAAAAAACTAGATGAGATACAAGATTTGCGTCCCTCAATCTTACAAAATTTCATATCGAATAGATAAAAGAAGAGTCTTAAGCTTATCAACATGATGTTGCACACTCTATCACATTAGTCATTTGAGAAAAAACTAATGATTTATCACAAAGTGATACCAGAGTTAATTTATACCCGATCTCATTAGCACTTCAATCAATATAGTAGACAAAGGGACTTGACTTGCGAAAAAAATATCACGAATTCTTGTAAAATAAAATAATACATAATATTACATCGAATAAATAAAAAAAAGATTTTAAATTTATAAATATTAACATCACACATTTCATATGTTTTAATCTTTTGAGAAGAGAATATTACTCCGGTGGCGTAAACCAGATAAAAAATCTAATGTTTTCATTAATAATAGGGCAAGAGAATAAATAATTTCGGTGTAGTAAATGAATAGTTGGATATTATTTTTCTTTATCTATTTTGTAACTCGTATTAATTTTTTTGGTGGAGAATCTTATTATCAGTCTCTTTCAATATATATATTTTTTTTTTCTCTTTCAGTTTATGGATAGAGTGATTCGAACTTTCTTTTTTATTCCTTGTTGGTAGTCCATCTCTTTCCTTAGCTACTCACACTGCTTGACAAAAATGGTTGGAGCGGCCTCCCTGGACTTGTACTATTAGACAATTGGTTGAAGTCACTCTCAAGCGGTTTCCCTTCACGTCTCAGCTCTCCCTCTCTAAATCGACTCTAAAAGATTCCTCAATTCTTATTATACTATCTTTTTTCTTTGATTCTTAGTCTAAGGGGAGTATTTGATTGGTTCAGTTAATTCAATTTTAAAATTTTAAAATTTGAATTAATCTAATTTTTATAAAAAGATTATAGATCAAAATATAATAAATAATAAATTAGAATAATCCTCATTTCATCTCATCTTTATATTTCTCCAATCAAGATGACACTTAATCTTCTTTAATTGACCTTGGATTATATCAATGCACATTGGAATAAGAAGACAAATAAATTAGAAAAAATTAATCAGTGATTACAAGTGTAAATATTTTTGGTTTTCTTTCTAAACAACACAAAAGACAAATAAAAAGGAACGGGATTTGGAAGCACGTAATTTCCCCTACCTTCCAGAAATACAACGGCAGTGGCTTTGAGCTGATGCATGAGGGCCAGATGTCCGCCGGAACCGAACAGAGTCGCCGCGTGGATTTACACAGCAAAAGATCAAATCCTTTCTCTCTTTCGTTCATTTTCTTCACCTTTTTCTCCGTTAGCAAACAAATTGACTCGCAATTGCAAGTAGTTTTCCGTAATATTTTGTTTTTGTCAGAACAAGATGGTACAATTTTCTTTCCAAAAGTCCAAAAAAATTGAACCGCACAAAAGAAAAAAAAAGATTAAGAGATGAGATATGATTAACGTGAAAAAGATATATTATTTGCCAGATTTTAAAGTAAAAATAAAAGAAAAAACGTATAATTTGTTTTAATAATAATACAAGTTTACATATCAGATTCGAAAATAAAAGTTTACTTTCGAAAATTTATCTCTAAAATAAAAGTTTATTCAATTTTTTATTAATGTGAAATTTAAATTCGAATTAAAGTGAATTTCATTAACGTGGGATGTAAATTTGAATCAAAATAAATTTTTTTATAAGTGAAAGAATTAGTGTAATCATTATATTCTATAATTAAGTAGAAGAGAATTTTATAGAATACAGGAAAATAAAAATTCAAATAAACTAATTAATTTTTATTTAATTTTAAGAGAAATTTGAATATACTATAGAATTAGTAGCAAGTGCTAATGTTAGTAATTAAATAAATATTATCCATAAATGGATAAATTTTTTAAAAATAATAATTATTGAAAAAAGAAAAGGGGAAATAACTTCGGCTTGCTTGCTGTCTGCCTTGCATATATACATCAATCTCTCTGTTTCAATTATCTCCAACAACAACCCCTTTCCGTCTTATACCCTCTCTCTCTTTTGTTTTTTACCCTCACTTTTCTTCTCTAGGGTTTCCCCTGTTTGGGAGATTTCGATTTTCATGCCTTTCTTTTCTTTTTCCTTCTCAGCAAAAAGGTGAGAATCCTTACTTTCTCCTTTGTTATTGGCATTTGTATCCTCTCTTACCTTCTCTCCCTCTACAAGTTTTCTCCACTTCAAAAGCTCTCTATCTCCCCTTTCCCTTTTCCCCTGTTTTTTTTTATTATTTGCTGAATTTATGGGAAATTATTTGAATTTGGGTGCATTCTTATATTCATTTTTGTGATTTTGAAATTGCGAATTTTCCCTGTGTTTTTAAGTAATTTTTTTATGTTATTGCTCGGAATTGCAATTAAACTCAATTGATTGGATTATCTACTCTTAATAATAATTATTCTGATTAGAATCGGTTGTTTTGATAAGGTTGTAATTTCATGGTCATGATTGAAAATGTGATCGAAATCGAAACCCTTAGAATTCTGCTTATCTATATGCGAGTTATTTCTTTCGTTGTGTCAATTGTAAGGTTGATAATAGAGTCGTATTTGAATTTTTCTCAATATAATTCGATGGACTCAATTGCTCAAAAAAATTCTCTCTTTTCCTTCTGTAATTTTTTGAGTTTTTTTTTTTTTTTGGGCTTCATTCTAACTTGCATGCACTCTTGGATTGGGACTTTCCTTTGCCATGAAGAAACATTTAAAATTGTTTTTCTTTTGGTTGCTTGATGGATTGTTGGCATCATTAATTTAATTCCTTTTTTCCTTCAAGAAAGAACAATAGAAAATGACAAATTTACTTGCATGAATAAGAAGCTTGAGTATTTTTTTTTTCTTCTATGTCTAAGTAATATGTTTGGATCAAATAAGATTTTTTTTTTTTTACAGCGAAATTTGATTGAAGGAAAAGCAAGTAGTAAAACTGGGTAACAAATGGAATCTGAAGTTTTAATTTATTTACAATGTGAGCTGAGCTCTAACATTGTGTTTTTTTGCAGTGCTAAAGCAGGCCTTGAAGTTCAGGGCTTCATAGTTGCTTGATATCTGAGTTAGGAACTTAAAAGGAAAAAGGAAAAGGAAAAAAAAGAATGCAAGGTGGTGTGGATTTCTTGAACTGCCTTCATCATGACTTATCCATAAAGATTCTTATGTCTTTAGAGGATCCAGCTGATCTTGTTCGCCTTGGTGTTGTCTCACGTTCCTGGCGACATTTTGGTGAGATAGAAAATTTTTGATATTATCTTCTTCTCTTTTAATGTTTATTTCTTTGTAGTTATTAAATGGCTATAAAAGTTTGTGAGATGAAGACTGAATTGGGATTTGTTTGCCATGTTGGGAAAGCTCTAATGCACCATAACATCTTCTGGAATTATTAAGTGGATAACATTCTCAGTGTGCAGTTTGGTTGTTGTGACTTCAGTTTAGTTTTTGTCACTTGGTCCTTTGTTTTCCATGCCTTGTTCTTTCTTGTTCCATGTTTACCTATCAAAGACATTCTGTATTTTGAAGTAAAATGGTTTTCAATAAAAATTATAGGTTATAGTCCTCTCTTTTACATTTTTCTCTTCTTGTAGGAACTTTGGGAATTTAACTTTAATTAATGAAAGTTGCATAGTGATTTGTTGCCACTGCCAGGATAGTCATGGTTCAAACTAAAATGTATTCAGGCCCACCCTCTGTTCCAACCTCAGCAGCACTTAAAGGCTGAAATAAAGGAGACATTCTTGAAGTTTGTAGCTCTTTGTAACAGTGTCATAACTTATATCTTAAAGATGATAGTAATCTTGCATCACTATTCTTTGGTTGTTATGCATGCAGGTGGCAGTCATCCATTCATTACTGACTCATCCATTTTAAATGGTTTGCAGTGATTACAAATGGTCTATGTAAGAATCTGTGCCGGAGAATGTTTCCTCAATTATCTAGACTTGATCGTGTGAATGAGCTAAGTGGTATTGTGAAAAGGCATGCTGAAGCTGGACCCAGCAAATTTATGGAATGGGAAGCTTTGGAGAGGGAGCATAGAGTTTTTGCCTTTTTAGCTCGAGGTTGTTTGTCATTTGGCCTCAGGGACTGCATCTCAGAAGCAATCATCGCTTCTAGCACTGATAATTATCCAGAGGAAAGAATAGATAATACTTTGGAACCGAGAGATAGGGTCGCACGGAGAGCTTCATACTGGTCGAGTAAAGGTCAAAGTAATCCTGAAGTGCCTGAAATGTTGACATATAAATTGGCCGCTGATTTGTGTGTTATAACTGATATCAATATACGCCCTTTCCAAGGTAACTGTTCCAAACTTCTGGTAACTCGGTTTTCCATCTTTCATCTATCTTTGATATTTTTTTTGGGGGGGGGGGGGCGGCGGGGGGGTGGGGGAGAAAGATTCAAATATTCTTATAAGATTTGTTATTGGTCAGCTTACTTCCAGTTGGGTTACCCTATATATTCAGCAAAATCTGTGAGATTTCGCATGGGTCATATCAAATCCTCCATGGACTGTCTTGTGGATGATTCATGGCAGGGTTCTAGTGATGACAAGTATGCATGGACTTACACCTCACGGGAGTTTCCAATGTCTCAGGTGGGTTCAAAAACAGCTGGTTTTACTTTTCTTATGTTATTGTAATTGGCTTTCTCTGTTTATTATGATACGAATATTAGATTTGGTTATTCTGTGAGCAGTCGTTGCCTATACTGAATGATTCATGGCAGGGTCTAGTGATGACAAGTATGCATGGACTTACACCTCACAGGAGTTTCCAATGTCTCAGGTGGGTTCAAAATAGCTGGTTTCACTTTTCTTACGTTATTGTAATTGGCTTTCTCTGTTTGCTATGATACGAATATCAGATTTGGTTATTCTGCAAGCAGTCGTTGCCTATACTGAATGAAAGTGATTGCATGTGATGCTAATTAAATACTCTAAAGTGGCTCTTAATGGTATCATATTTTGTATTCATTTGTTTCCATGTTCCAAAATGCATTTTCTGTGAAGTTGACCATTTGCATTCTTTTAGTTTTGTAATGAGTAACTTATTTGGGAGCACTGATGACATTAGGTTTTTCCATTAACAGGAAAATAGCTTGCAGAATTTCAGGCTTCCAGAACCTGTTCTTTGCATTGGTGGAATCCTACAGGTTGAGCTGTTGGGTAGGGTCCAGAGACAGGAGATGGATGGTTTGTTCTATATATGGTACTGTCAAATGCGCCTTTTCTACCTAGTTTGATACAGATATATTGCAGAAGGGTTATGAGTAGAATTTGCTGAGTGCTGTAGATATCATATTGAAGTGATAAGATTTCACTTTAGGGACCATAAATTTCAGATTAGTTCCTTGCTCAAAATGAAATGAGGAAATCTGATTGAAGCCAAAAAGTGAAAAAAAAAAAAATCGTGACATGTAGGCATTAAATTACAAAACTACTAACTCGGTGTTTTTAGCCTCCATTTGGATGATGCTTTTTGCAAAAATTGAATAGAAAAGAAAAGCAAAAAGAATAACAAATGTCCTAGTGTTAATGCAATATGTTGGCGTCATTGCAGCGTGTCTCATGTTCAAGTTTTGGGACGCCCGCTGGCACCTGGTTTCAGTATTCAGATACTTGAACCCTCTGAAAAATTTGTGCTGAACTTGCTGAGTTATACAGAACCAACTGTACCTGAACAGCCAAGTTCCGTTTCCAATTTGCACATGCGCGTGCGAGGTTTGGAGCAAATTGTGAATCTATTGCGGGGCAATGTAGATGTGGAATACGGGTATGGATGGGATATAGATGATGAAGATTCGGATGAGGATGAAGAGGTAGATGAAGATTAACCTCCTGCTGCTTTTTCTGTTCCCTCCTTCGAAACTTTAGTAAGAGGTCACATAGAATCTATATTCTCTGAAACACTACGAGTGTGTTGGGCCACACTTCGGCTTATAGCTCCTCTGGGAGTGTCATGTAACCTTGTTACCGGATTAGTTCTGGTATAATATGCTAGTGTTATCAATATTTATAAGCTTTATTCAAGGTAGTATGATCTCATCAAGTTGATTCATAAACCACTTTTACCAACGTAAACTCCCAGTATTCTTTTCGAGTATACCGTCTCCATAGCAAAATTTCCAACATTGTTTCTCCTACAGATGGATGTTAGATTTTCCTATAGTTTTTTCCCCGTGGGTGTCACTAAATTGGGCATGTGTTAACCATACTGCTCAAACTTGTCATACAAACAGGGTATAAGCTATGAACTTATCTAAAATTCATGAAATGTCAACAAATGACAGCAAGATATCTATTAGTATTATTTTTGTTTGAGTGCTCGAAAGGAATTGCGACAACAGTGGTGCTAAATAGGGAGAGAATTTTCCAGGTCACCCCAGGTTGACAAATTCTTCAAAGCTTACAATATGAACTTTAGGCAAAGGTTCAATTAAATTATTCAAATCATACTCAAGCTTGTTCTGCAAAACAGGCTTCCCTACTTCAGTGTGTCTTGGACTTGGGCGGTGATGGAAGTAACTGCAACACAGTAGAATCTTGTCAGCCTCCAAAATCGGTAAATCCAACCAAATTTTTCACAGAAACAATAGATGTAATACTGGTTTTCCTATTATTTCAGATGGCATCCATTAACACCAAAACAGGGTCCCTAGTAACTCATCGTTTTTATAGATTTAAAGAAGTTGAACTCGGGTTCTAGTATGTCCTACTTCATAACTTGAGCTAATTCACCAAGGTTAAAGTTTCAATATATGATTAACTATATCTGTAACTTATCTTTCATAAAATTACATGCTAGGTTGTATAACCTGTTAATGTCTTTGCTTTTTCATTAACCTTTAACTCTTCCTCAACAAAACTAGTGATTTCCCATATATACATTCACTGCTAACATCCAACAGTCCAGTGAACAAAAAAGGAGACGTCCAATACAAGACTGAAAACCTAGAATCGAGTACCTGGTAACAGGAGATGAGAGATGAAACAAATCCAAAGGCTCCTGTTACACGAGGAGTGACTTTCTTAGGTGCCAATTGAAGAAGCCCAACAGCTACCACTATATCCATCCCTGCTTTAACAAGAGCTATTGTCCTCTCATTTGATTTTAGGAGCTTGGCACGGTATTCCTCATTCTGCATGTGTAAGAGAGCACAACAAAGTTGGGAAGCACAGGAAAAAGAGGAAGGAGATTGATTATAAGCACTGAAGGGAAAACATATTAAACATACCTTGTATTTATCACTGTTCTTAAGATCCTTTTCCAACTTCTTCATTGATGCAGATAGCCTTCCAAGCTCCCCAAGCTGATTAAAGAATAGTACATGTCATTAAAATGTGGATATAACTAATGAAACATTTTAAGTTAAAAAAAATGTAAATAGAGACTCGTTCTCAAATTAATGAAGAGCCGCAAACCTCAACCAAGGTGGAACAGATTGAGGAACCCATCCAACAGAAAAGGGATATTCGTCCAATCAGCTCAGCTCGTTCTTTGTTCTGTAATAGGCAAAATCAGAATTTCTTCCATTTAACATTTGTTAACTGAGACAAACACATAAAATAAATAGCAAATTGAAGTGTATCGCATACCTTATAGATGCCTGATCTGCCAAACCAGACAATTTGATCCAGAAATAAGAAAGTTGACAACAGTGCATTCTTTGACTGAAACAAGTAACCTCCAAAGGGACATTAAATTGACAAAGTTGAGAGGGTAGAGAATTTCAAAGAAAAATACTGTAGGAAGTTTATCACACCTTTCCCAGAAGAACAAGCGGAAGGGGAGTTCCTTGAGGAACCGGGCTAATAAGACCATGCAAATCATTGACAAACTGCAAATCAACAGTGTATAACAACAATCAAGCCATAATGATGATAAAAAAGGGAAAAATATGTGAGAACATAAGTTTGATATCTGAGACCTTTTGTAGCACTAAGTATTTGTTTCATGTTATGCGAGATGAGTTCATGTTACTCTCATTCCTTTTAGAAACCCAAAAAATAGATTCTTTTTTTTAAGTAAAGGTACAAATTCAGAATGCTACTTTCACCCATCAAAAAAAAGGAAAAAGATTATCTAATAAATGAATAAGTTACCGTAATTGTTCATTATTGTACAACATAAAACCAATTTGTCATTGTTAATATTTAACATAGTGTGATAACCTTAAAAAGACGGAAAACTTTCCGAGCCAAACTGGTTGACTTGTCAACATTTTGGGCTGTGCCAGGCTGCCCATTACTCAAGAATTTCGAACCATATTGTATAGCCCTGCATATCTTATCCCTTGCTTCAGCCTTATTCAAATACAAAACTATAAGAGCAAGTTCTGCTCTACTTGCATCCAGCGTACTCATTTTTTATCCACAAGAAACCTGAAAAATCATGATGATTACTTTTCTATAAGAACTTACGGGTCAAATGTTAAAGCATGCATCAAAGGCGACATTATCAGCCAGTTTAAGCAAGCTACTAAAAGAGAAGAAGAGCTTCTACGTTCAAACAAAGTACCCATTGAAATTTGAAGTCATCAACTATTTGTGACCTCATTCAAACACTTTTTTTATCACTTCTTTTTTGAGGCAAGGCTATATGCTATATTTATGGCATAAAACCATGTGCGTGCATGTTGGTATGTGCTTTTTTCTGTGTGTGTGTATATATCATCATCATCATCATCATCATCAATATCTGTAAGATGCAACGAGAGTATATTGTTGCTTAATTAACCAAGGACATGGATGTGCTACATAAATCTGGAATTAGTAAATAGCATAAAAGCTGTCACTAACAACTTAAACTCAAACTGAAATATCCAGAAACACATTAAAATTTTGTTTGAACTCATTCACTGGACTCTCTAAAATATTAAGTACTCCAAAGCATCAAACTTTTTAGCTTGATCAAATAATAAGCAATATCAAACAAAGCAGAGTCTAGTACCTATGGTTTAGCTTAGTTTTACAGTTCTTTCCATACAATAAAACGCAGAGCTATGAATTTTAATACCCGGAATTTAATTTCCGTTCCCTAACTTTCTTTCCTCTACTTTCTTATAAACCAAACAGACCACACCACCAAGACCCTAAAAAGAAAAAGGGTATAAATTCCCAAATGAATCAAATCATAAAACCTCAAATCACCCAGACTGAGAAACCCTATAAAAACAAACAAATCAAACGAGACGATAACAAACATATGAAAAAACATAAACTAAATTAAAACAACAAATACCCATAAACAAAAATCTCATACAGGTATCAACTAAAGCCATAAGACCGACAACAACAACAGCAGCAACGTACAATCAAGATAAAAGCAAAGCTTGTTCCTCTTACAGCTCAAAACACATAAGAGCATCAATCAAACAACCAGGCTTTTGGTCAATTCAATAAGCACCCACACACCAGGAAAAGAAAGAGAGAAAGAGAATAGTACCGAAGAAAGTGCCCGATGATTTGGTCTCGAAATCCACAAACCTTTTCTCCGTTCCTTTAATAAAAATCCCTTTTTTATTTTTGTTTTTTTGGGCAAGATTAGAGTTTCTGGGTCCAAGGCTCTCCCCAGCGTCAGCTCAATGTGTCGTTTTTTCGTTTCTCTATCTCTACGTGTGATAAAGCCTTGTTTGGTCCACTCTTTCCCAAAACAAACGAACAAAAAACAAACCCTCATTTCACAACTGGATTTTCCTTCCTCCTAATTTTGAGTTTTGGGATAATTTCCAAACAAGTCATCAAAGTTTACGGGTAAATACAAATAAAGCCCTCGTTTTTTTTATAAAATAGAATTAAGGTTACAAGCTTTTATTTTGTCATATCAAAGACCTTGACATCACGAAATATTTTGTATCTCGTTAAGATTTTCTCGATTGGTCAATTTACATTATAAAAAATTTTCACTTGAATATATCTTAGTATATTATAAATTTATTAGATGATAAATATTTGAGAAAATGTTATTTTCATAATCCTAGAAATAATCTTTATTCATTCATTTGCAGATTTAATGGATGTAATTATAATGAAATAAAAGATTATAGTTTTAATTTCATGCAAGAAGAGACCGAGGGCTTAATTGCATTTTTATTAAAGTGTGAGGGCTTATTTGGATACTAGCCATACAATCCGGGATTCTTGGTATGAGTGAAGAGTACCTTAGAAAAAACCTTGGCAAAGCGGTTGCTTAACACGCATCTGAAGAAGACTCTGCTTGAGGCTTATCCACATCCCCTCTATCGTTGAAATTGCTGACTTCTTTCCACGGTCTAACCTTTTGTTTGGATACGTGGACAAGGAACCCCATTTGAAGCATGCTTATATTAGCAGTCGTCATACAATTTAAACATTTTGAAAGAATAATTCTTTATTTTCGATTCATACTTGTCGATAATTTGTGGGGTATCAATATCCAGATTGAAGATCATTTTCTCAGTCGATTTCAGCAAGCATTTTAAGGGTAATTTGAGTGGAAATTTTTGCAGAGAATTAAAAATGCTTGGTAGTTGTAGTTGTGGGGTAGCTGTCGTCTCCAGAAATGGAGGTTGGTTGCATTGACATACGATGTTGAATCACATTCATTCGATGGCATTGCACTAGCATGCCATGTTTGAAGCCATTCATTTGATGGGTTTGATGCTGACGGATGCATCCACCATTAATGGTGGGGTTTAGAAACTTTTGGTGCTTTAACTGCTCTCATATAACAAACCATATCTTCAATTCTGTCCGGCTACTTTTCCCAGTCTTCTTTGCAGTTTCTGTAGATAGCATTGTGGTCAGCATTTGACCTACCGTCTTCTGCTTATGTTTTCTTTTTCTTAGTGGGGAATTAGAGATGGGGCTGTTAGCACTTAGCAGGGATCCTTAATTTTTGTTTGGTTGCTGAGAAGATGAAAGGAAAATAAGATAATCATGATGCTTAGAACAAGAAAATTTTCTGGTATTAAATGTTCAACCGAGTTATAGAAATCCCCCATGGCCTCCAGCATGCAGGTCTGAACATTGTTTTAGCTTCAATTACTCTGCAGACACCAAGGAAAACAAGATATTGGTCATACAAAGAGTGAGAGTAAGATCTGTCTCGACAATAAATAAAGAACCCTGGATGGAATCGAATCCAAAAAGCTTGCCTTGAGTTAGAAGCAAGGGCAAGGGGGGGAGTACGAAAGCAAAGCATTATAAGCCACAGAATATTTGTGAACCATATGACAATGTCTGACTAATGATAACATGCATATGCCATTCCATCCACGGTCATGCACAGGGCAAGTATTACACATACCTGCTTATCAGATCTCCATAAACCACGAAGAAAGCAGAACTTAAAAAGATCAGAAAACCTCAACAGAATTTATGATATCATAGCTATGTCTGCAAAAGAATCACCAGCGACTGAAAAGTAAAGATCCAAGAGATAGATCGAATGAGAAATGCAGGGGAATCTTATAGTTTAATAAATAACAAAGCATTGACAGCATGGATTAGGAGCGCTTGAGCGCCTTGTTTGCATATCATTAGCTAATTTGTTTCATACAGACAATGAAACATAGATCATGCAAGAAGGGGAGAAAAACAAAAAAGGAAAGGAAAATTTTATTATACAGAATGAGAGATTTTCATTTCTTCCCCTACTTCCGGCTGAACAAACTTCTAAGCTTTCCTCTTTCCAACCTCTCGAGTAGCTTCTTCACACCAGGGATCTCCATCTCCGAAAGCTTCTTGAGATACCCAATTGCTCCATATGATATCATAAGCTTCTTGCATTTCTTACTTGAAGAGAGAGTTGCAAGGCAGGAAACTGCATACTTCTTTGCAGTATTTTGGGGACTTGGATCAAGCAGCTGGACCAGATTTGGCACGCTTTTATCGTCTTTTTTGACTTCTCTGCAATTCTGAGAAACAGTTATCAAGCTCGAAAGGGCTTGAGCAGCTACCTCTCTAGCACTGTTTGATTTCGCCTCAAGCATTCTAATAAGAAGAGCAACGCACCCAGCTTCACCGACCATTTTTTTCATTTCACTTGAGCTGCAAACTCGACAGATGGCTGATGCAGCAGCTTGTTGTGCACCCAGCGATCCAGATTTAAGCACGTGAACTAATCGAGGGAGGAAACCAAGTGACATCAGAACTTCCATAGAAACTGAGCCAACCAAATTCCTCAAGGCTCCAACTGCAGATTCTTGGGGCAGAGGACCATCAAGGTATACCAAAAGACTCCGAATTCCACCTTCTGAGATAACAGACCTTCTCAAATTCTCATTGCTGGCCGTGAGATTCTGCAAGCACTCCGCAGCATATTCTTTGGAACCCAACAAAATTCCACAATCGAGGAGATTGATCATGACCTTTATAATTCCTTCCTCTGCTAGTATTTGTCGAACCTCAGGGACAGCTGATATATTTTTTAATGTACAAGCAGCTGCAGCCTGTGAAACAGAGTCTCCAGTTCGGCAGATCTCAGTTAGTGGTCGAACCCCACCATGCCCGACAATTGCTCGGGCTGTTTCAGCAGTCATTGATAATCTCTGCAGCGAAATTGTGGCCTTCTCTTTACCAACTGTGCTGCCTGATTCAACAAGCCTTATGAGAGGTGGCAAAACACCTTCCGATACAAGCCAGCTCTCACAACTCCCAGATTCTGCAAGTGAGCAGATTACAGTTACAGTCTTTTCCCGAATACGAGGAGAAGTTGCTGTTAATAACTGGACTAAAGCAGCAATGTTACTCCGCCCCATAACTGACAACACACTCTTTTCATCCTCCTTCATGACCTCGACAAGGCTGTCAAGCGCTTTGTGCTTTGCTTCCAAGTGCCCAATCTGTAGCCGTGCAAGCAGTTCCTTTAGATGGCCATGTGCTGCAGTCTCAGATTCTGATGAAGAGCCAACAACAGATAAAGGCAAAGTAGCTTCGCCAAGTACACCAGTCTTTATCAGAAGTCCACAATCCCGTAAATTTAGATCCAATTTCCCTGATAACGCATCAAGATCACTTTGCATCTTAAGCTTCCCCTCATACTTCTCCTTTAGACATAAATCTGCCAATTTAATTGCTTCCTTCAATGTCTTCGAGACAGCCTGCAATTGCTCCTTACAGAGTGCATTTTTGCAGAAGCAAGGATGGCTTGACAAGTCTGACAAGCGTGAAGGGATCTGCTCCAATTTGGATATTATCATCTTCCACCTACCAGGGAACCCCTTCACCTCCCTTGCCTTAACAAGTGCCATGGGAACAAGCTCTTGTGCATGCGGTAAACATTCCTCAGCTGACCGAGTATCAGCCAAAACCCCATTTCCAATATCTTCTCCCATGATTCAGATATGAGTTTTGATCAAAACGATCACTAGAGCTGTATCAAGTGAAATTCATAGAAACCCAAACCTTCAGTAACGAGCCAGATGAGAGAAAAGGATAATTAATATGGAAGAAAGGACATTTTGATAGAAAATAGAAAAGCAGTGGAGCAGTTGTAATCATCAAACATTTAATTTATAAGTTAATAATACAATTAAACAAAACAGAAAATAAAAAACAAATAGACTATCATCAAAGAGTTTCGAGAATCTTGTGTGATCACACAAAGCTTGTTTACTGAAAACAAGACCCGACCAACAAAATTGAACTACCTAAAGATGCCCCACGAGTCCTTGCCTTTGCTTTATCAAGTGATCATTAAATGCCACCTAAAATTTATGATCTTAAAAGTAAAACACATGTAGCATCAACATGTATTAAAACTCTTTAAAATATAGTTGATGATAATGAACGAAGTTACTTTTCAACTACTAAACAATTGCCATCTAATCAAGAAGCCGTCGATGACTACTTTCGAAATACCAGAATACCCTTTTGAAAACCAAGGGAAAAAGCATTCTGCAAGGCTGTGATTCGAGGGGTATAGTGGTAAGTGGATGGAAAAATAAAAAAAGATGAAAACGAACTTTACTTTTTAACCAGGAAAATCGTGGTATCAGATTTTGGTAGAGATCAGTGATATCTTGCTTGATCTAAAGCGAAAGGTCAAGCATTTTCCTGGCAATGAAGGCAAAAATTAGATTCCTAAGCTGCATTACCAATTTTAACCCCACAAATCGAGTTATCCGGTAATGGTATGAGCCAGAGAAGAAACTTCCCTTTGAAGAGAAGATACGAGTCCCTATCCAAAGCTGTATATTTAGAGTGTATTTAAATTATCCAAGATGGAGCAACCCCACTAACAACATGCATTTAAGAAAATTCAAAGCAATAAATTCCAAAAGAAATACCTCAAATTGCTTTGACTTTCCTTGAAATTCACAGCACTCTAGCATTTACAGCCACCCAATAGTCCCGACTATCTTCTGCGTGAGGCTACGAGCACAAGAAAAAACAGTAAGAAAACATTCATGTCCACTCAGAAAGATCAATATCAGAGATATGAGAATCCGGATGGGAGAAAGCAAAAAGGAGAGAAAGATGAATAATTGAATCAAATAAAGGGAAAAGAACAAAAACAAAAACCACTTTTTTTTTGCCTTTTATCAGGGTGGTGATCAAAGAAAGCAAGCTAAAACAACTTCATGGACCATTAGACCAACCTTTAAGACTCAGGTACTACAGAACTTGTCCCTTTTTCTCCAGCAAGCAACCGAATGTAGCTTAATCCTCAAACTTCTCCTTTCTCTTTCTCTTTCTCTCTCAATTCCAACCCAGAAAAATGCTTCTAAGAATCACCAACCCACCACAACTTTCAAAAAGAAAGAAAGAAACAAACTGTTTTCCTTAGTCTAAATTGGAAACCTGCAAGGTAGTGATACTTCCAAAATCAGCAATCGGGTTTCTTTATAAGAATCAGAAATACCCAGAACCCATTTGTTGTTTCCTAATGAAGGATCTTGAACTATGAAGACAAGCACCAGCTCAAGTTTGAAAAACCCAAATGATAGAAAGGACCCAGATTCTTTAAAGTATTGGAGATTTAAAAAAAAAAAAAACCAGAAACAGACAAAGATAAAATAATTACACTACAGCAACGATCACAATCAGATTCAAAAATCAAACCTTCTTCAAAATCTCTCTCTCTCTCTCTCTCTCTACCATATAGAGGACGCTGTGTCAGGGTCTTTCAGATTTCTTCTCTCTGCTGAAAAATCGCAATACAATATTTCCTTTAACTCTTTGCCAGTGCCCAGTGGGCTTCCTAAAGAGAAAGACAAGAGTGTGTTTACCAGACAGAAGTGGCTAAATGTCGAGCAACTTTGGGGGATTTGTACGGTTATGATTCTGTTTTAGGACAGAGGATTCGACCGTTGGGATTGGGTGATAAAAATTTTGAATACGGTTTTTCCTTTTTCGCTTTTTTTTTTTACGTTACGATGGTGCCGACGTGGAGGTTTTTGCCACGTGGATGTGGGCACGGTTGAGGACGTTTTTTGAAAAAAAAGTAAGCCTATGGTTGATATTGATGGCACGTGTATTAAGACAGGTTATAGGGAAGTGTGGAGTTTGGTTTTAATAAACGCACTTGGTTTTTGGATAAATTTTCGAATCTGCCACTTCGATTTTGTATACTTAATTTGTACCTTGGAATATTTTTTTAATTTTTTCCAAATTAAAAAAAAAAATTTGATTAAATAGTATAATAATATCAGCCATATTCATTTTTATTCTTGTTCTTGATGGAGATTCAAATTTTGAATTTGATGGTGAAAGAGTGGTAACAATGTTTGTTGGGATCTTCAAATAATATCAAGTTGTAATCCTTTATAAGAAATCTTCCAATCATCTTCTAAATCTCATTACAATTATATTATTTAATCCATATCAAATGATTAAAATTTAAAATTGGCATATGAATGTGTACTTTGCATGATAGACGATAAATATGAAAGCTTATGTAAGCTTTTACATCTTAACAAAATCAAATTCATCTGTGAATTATAAATATGACTACATCTAAACTTGTTATTTAATAAGAAATATATATGTATTTTATTTATTTAAGGGGTTAAATTTAAAGTTTTCTTTACATAATTATATTTTTAAAAATATTCATAGAAATGAAATCGGTATAAGTATTAAAAAAAGAAAAAAATGTGAATAACTTATGGAAAAGAAACTCAAAAAAGGTTTTTTAGCTTTATTTTTTAACTCAACTTTGAGTTAATTACTAATATGTTATTTTTTAAGTTATTAGTAATATTATAATAATGATATAAATTTGATACTCGATTAATTCTACATGTTACTTTTAAATGTGTAAAAGTAAAAATTCAAATATTATTCAAAATCAATATTTTTTATATTTTTAACAGTTAAATTTTTATTAATAAAGTGATAATATTTAATTTACTGATAATATATGAAATTTTAGTAATATTTGGTCATAAAATTATCAAAAAAATGAAAACATAAAGGTTATGATAACATAAAAAGGTTAAAGAGCAAATATTGTAAAACTTAGAGCTTATTCAATAGAATGGTATGTTGCTTTCCTAGGATGCTTAAAAGTGCAACAGTTAACACAGCACCGTTAAATCAACCACACTAAACCTTTTACCAATAAAAATATAAAGAAAAAGAAAAAGAGCCCCACAAAACGAGAGCAGCCTTTTGAGTCTGAGAAGAGAGAAGCAAAAGCGAGGCCATCAAGACGCGTGGGGAATATGAGCGTCGGCGTGGCCAGAATACGATGCTCTACTCTGTCGGCTATACTCAACTATTTACTTTTTGGTTTTTTTTTTTTAATTTTTCTGATTTTCAATTTTGGATAGGCCCACTTCTCCCTCTGTCTCTTTCTTACACCAACCATGTCCTGTCTTAAAATACAAACCTGTGTAGTTCCCCTTCCCCGTTGAAATTTGCTCCTGGTTTACACATCACAACACAGCTTCGATGCATCACAACACAGCTTTGATGCTTTGCTGTGAGTCAAGAGATGTTGACTCTCATTGAAGAATTTTGTCCTTGAATTGACAAAGAGGGTAGGGAACTAGGGTTCTGTTCCTAGTAAACATTGAGCAATCTGTTTCCAAACAAATTTCTCTTGGGAGGGACCTGATCGATGGGGTACTCTTTTTAAGTTGGAAGCATACCAACTAGATCATGAACCGACCATATCCCAAGAATCAGCCTGGAAGCGGGTGGTTGGCCTTCAATCCCATGTGCTTTGAATCAAGGTGTAAGACCAGGCCCCCTCATCTCCAACCTCTCTTTAAAGATAATACAGATAAATAATTACTTTCGATTTTCTTTACCATCACAAATCAAAAGAAATATAGTAAATTGATAATAAGTGAAGAAATATAGTCTTAATTTAATTTGCTCTGCAAAGATGGCATGGGCTATGACAAAGTGTACATATTCATGTTAAGATGTTGAGCAAAACCCAACCACTGGCATAGGAAACTGCAAAAGAAAGAGGGTGCTCCACAATTCCATAAGAGCAGCCTTTTTAGCTTTTCAATAAAAGGTATATGAAATAATAATAATTCCCTTTTGGTCGTAACTAATAATACTATAATCATTCGTCTTTTAACTTAGGATATGCAATTTCCCAAGAGCCCACATTTAACCTTGCTGGCGAGATTAGTATTAATCGAAAACAGTAAACCAACAAGCCCAAACTTTGCAGTCTCCCAGCATTTGGTAACTCAAATTAATCTGTTACTTAACCAAATGTTGTTTGAATTATTTTGAGAGTCGAATATTTTACGTTTTATTTCGTTGATATTTTTATTATTTATATTTTGTTTAAGATATTAATCAAATCGACTCATTATTTCAAATCAAAATTCAATTTATTATATGTAAAGCTTGCGACTGAAAAAATTAAAACATTATAAATCTTTTAATAATTTCATCCGATTCATCATCAGATTAAGGGTTTCTACGCCGATTTCATAAGTACGTACCTTTGTTAGGTTGCTTTTATCAAGTTCTTAACATGATGAGTTTTGTTTAGGGTACTTAATAACTTCTGTACTTTGCCCATCAGCTTTCTTCAATTATGCATTGACATAGCCAGCACTATGAAGAGGGTCCAAACATTAAAGAATGATTAATACTATAATGATTTCCATTTGCATTTAAACTAGTAATGTTGATAGAATTGCCATTTAGGCATTTAGCCCCAACCCTTTCCAAATCAATGCCTAGTGTTACCATTTTATAAACAAAGGATTGCTCTTCTCCAATCATATTTATATGTATATGTAATTTTTGTGCTCACCAATTTAAATCCGAAATTTCCCTTGGACAAGAGATAAAAAAATATTTCTTACTTTGAATCTCACCTTATTGAAACGTTTAAAAAATTTATAATTAATTAATACATGAGGTTTTGATAATCACAGACTAATGAAATAGTATGTTTGCTTTCAAATTAATTGACCACTTAGGAGAAATGAAATTTGTGTTTTCCATCTTGGTAATGATCTGATCTCTTCATCCTTCCACCTCATATACAAAGAAATTTCTACCAGATAACTACAAACTGTATCAGTCCAATGACCAAACTTAATGATTGACAAGCCGTTTTTTAGCTTAGGGGATTAACCCTGATTAAGATTGACAGAGCCCAAGTGGCAGCGAGAACAGAAATGACTGTCTTCATTTTGTCCTTTATGTTGTTTTTTTATGCTTTTGATTCAAATTGTTCCCTCTTGCTCGCTAAGCCTAGCACAATTTTTACTCTGGAAAGTCTGGCATTCATTCATGCTGCTTCTAGTATTTTACATCCTGCAACTAGCCAGTGATGATTGATCATTATGAATGCTGTTGAGCCCACACCATTGCAGGACCACCCAACTGCTTCCCTCTTCTGTCTTGGTGTACCATGCAATCAAAACAAGAGGAAATTTTCCTCCTGGAAAACCCCAAAGTTATGAATTTGTACTGTAGCGGCAACTCGGATTAATAAAGTAAGGAGTTAGCTAGCTCATTAATGCATCAAATTAGAAAAATATTCTTTCACTTTCATCAGATAGTATTTTCCAAGAGGAGACGAGAATGAGAAAAAGAGCTTCTGTGCCTTTTTAGCTATCACTGAGTCATCATATGCATTGAAATCAAACTCAGGCAGAAGCAAAACATAAATAGGATCCTGTTTCACCCTTGCTGGTAATTGGGTATATGACTGAGCCTCGCTTTTCCACATACCAGGATATGGGTATAGCCAAAGCTCACGTGACAATGCATACCTAAGTTCCTTAACATCCAACGTGAATTTTTTGTTTGTTCTTGCCAAATCCCCCCATGGTCAACGTGTGTACATGAACATTATTAGCTATGCTCAGTAAAAACATAAGACAGAAAAGTACTACTGCAAACTGGGATTTATTCTGAGAGGTCGGTATGCTTATGATTGCTTTTTGGACTAGCTAGCTAGTTACAGTGCCATTTGACAATTACAGGCTTCTCTTGGCTTAGCCTCTTTTGGTCTAGTTACGCCAAACTGTAACCTCTCTCTTTGTCCATATGTAGTCTATACATGCAAGCTTTAATTAAGGAACTTATCTTCTATATCACTCCAAACAGCAATAAGCTATAATTATGGTAAGCTTCTGATGTTTTTTGTCTCAGAAAGCTTAATTCATATATGGGTATATCACATGCTATGTAATTAACCAACTGCTTCATATATATGCCCTTATGCCCTTAATTGTCTGTATTGTAGGTGGACCCACTAAAAGTTGGGGGAACCACCACCGAAGAAGAGACCTTGAGCCTCTTACTCCTTGAACCACCATCAGCAGCACTAATTATTCTTGGACTAATCTCTGGGCTATCCATCCATCCCCTCATTTGGTCTGCAAAGCCTTGGTCACCAAAACTCACTTCTCCAATATCTGACCCATCTGAATCGAACCCATGTTGCCGAAACCCAACCCATTCATTGCTACAATCTGAAACGCTGGAGCTGTCCCAATTAGAGGAAGGGGGCTCATCTGCCGCAGGGGGCACAATGATGCTTGGTTGCACCACTTTTTCAATATTCTTCATATCAACTGGTGGGTTCTGGTATTGGTAGTTTCTAAAGTGGAATATGCTGGCGAAAGTGAAGTGGTCACTCACTCTACATTTTGTTGACTTGTTTTCCGTCGTCCTAGCCATGATACTCTGCAGGTTCTTGCTCAATTTAGCCTTCAATGAAGAGAAGCTAAGTCCATGCCGCTCATCAGATTGGGAGACAAACCCTCCATTAGAAGGAGAAGAACCTGATTGGCTCGAATTGTGATTAACCGATGCAAAGTTGGTTCTAGCATTTTCCCCGCGTAAAGCACGAGCTGCTTCATCGTAAGCTCTAGCAGCTTCCTCAGGAGTATCATATGTCCCTAGCCACAGCCTCACACGTTGAGATGAGTCCTTGATTTCTGCCACCCATCTTCCCGATGGTCTTTGCCTGACACCAACAAACCTTCGAACCATTGGTTTGGTTGGTTGAGCCATGGTGTTGGCGGTGGTGGTGATGACAGTAGTGGTGGCCTTGGCGGTTTCAGATCCTGCCATTAACACCCAAAGTTGCAGAAAAAAAAATTCTAATTGTTTAGCTGAGAATTGGCCTTCTTTGATTCAGTGGAAGACTAGTTAATTGCATGTGGAATGGATTGTAGTCACCTTGCCACTATATATATCAGCTGGCTCCAAAGTGTAGTGAAATCAGCGTAAAGTATATGCCCATCTCTATTATCTGCTTGTTCTTTTCCTATTCCATATTTTTAATCTTCAAACTGCCCTCCATGACGTGCTTGCAAATTGCCTTCAGCTTCGCTCCAAGGTGCCAAGCCTCAACTTGCCAAAATTCCATGTACGGCACAAACAATTAGTTACTATATACTATAAAATCAATTAAATTTATTCCCTAACATAAACAAGTTGCAAGTTTTTGCCACGTTATTAATCAAAACATATCATAAACTATTAAAATTTACAGAGCTTTGTTAGTTATCCAAAACATATGAACTAGAGTATTTTACTCAATAATTAGTGTCCGTTTAATTTCTTTTGTTTAAAGAATTTAATCCGAATAAAAATATTTATAGGTGAGATTATGTAAGCCGTGAGTGGATGGAATTAAAGCTGACGTAAAGCGGCTTAAGGATGGAAAATTACAGAGAGAAGGTGACAAACAAAGAGGCGGTCGGATTTTGGAAGCTTGTAAATGAAGAACGGATGAGGAAAGTTGGATATCTGAATTTTAAAATCCGGCGGGAAATTAAGTTGGTTTAATTAAATAGTGACGTGGAGGTTACCGTTGGCTTTTAGCACTTGTTGATAGAATGATTTGTGGGCTCCCCCACGGGGCTCCGTACCGTGTCCTTTGTGTTGGTTGCATTTCCCTAGCCGAATTCCCCACGCCTTTTGACCTAAATCATGACCCTTTTGCTTAAACCATAATTAATCCGATAATCTTCGTCTTAATCTGCCAACCCATGGCCATTGGATTCAGGCTATAGTCATATGCAGGTGCGGCCTTAGATTCCCCTAACTCCATTCCTCGAATGAAGGAAGTGGCGAGTTTTGTCTGTTACTGTGTGGATTTTGCACATCATGACACATGTGGAATGACACGTGGCATGTTCCACGTGTCTCTCTCTCTCTCGGCCAATGGGAATTCGAGGTTTGCTTACTTGCTAATTAAGAGGTGTTGACAATCATAGTTCTAAAAACCCTTCTCCCTTATTTGATGTATGATTACCATATTTTGTTTTATTTTTTAGCTTATAATCCATGGAATCTGAGGTTAAAATATGGTTTAATAGTGTTAAAAAATTGTTTAATTGAAAAATAATCTTTGTCCATTATTTAACGTTGGTTAGCAAAATTAAAATTTGAATACCTCTGGGTGATATCAATATATCCTATCTCAATTAACAAAAAACAAGTCAAAGTAATTTTATTCTTATTAGATTTTACACATATTAATATATCCAAGTATTTTTTAAAATTAATTTAACTAATTTTGGGGTATACCCTAATTGTCACTACTTTTATTTATTTATTTCTTTATATGGGATTAATTGGCGGTTGTGCATAATCTATTTCCCCATGGTTAATCAGAAAGGAACATGGAAGCTGCTTCCAATCCGATGCTTCAATTGTAACGACAACGTTGACATAGAATAATTCAGTGATTGGCTTTTCTTTCTTGAAGAACCAATAAAATGAGATGTTGACAATGAAATCTCGACCATAGCAGAAGAGAAAGGGAGTACTGGTTCATTACCATTTGATGGTTTTATAATTATTTTAGTTTTTTTTCTTTTCTAAATTAAAAAAACAAAGTCTAACAAAGCATATCAAATTGTAATGGGTGTTAATTTTTTATAAACAACGGATAAGTTGGGTTTGGTAGACACAAGAAAATTTCATTAGCCTAATCTGATTAGGTAAAATTAAGAATGTACTTTAATTTTAATATTATCACAATAGACATATTATAAAACCATTTTGATTGTAAAACAAGTTTGAATTTGAAAAGAAAAGAAATAGATACCAGCAAGTAGCGGACTGGCTGGCCGATGTCTTCCTAACTGGGTTATTGATTTACTAATGAAAGAACGTATAAAGTGTAAAACGCAATCATTGGGTGAAGAATTGAAAGACAAAAGCCACTTGGGCCTGGTAGGTTTGCGATTGTCAAAGCCACCTGCCACCTTAATCCATTTTGGGGCTATTCAAGTTCAAACCAGCCCAGTCCAAACTGATATTAGCTTTGGTTGGGTCAGTAAATCCAGCAGGAAGGGTAAAAACATAATGCATTTGCATGTAAAATCTTAAGATTATGTTTGTTTCAGAGCACAGTTAATAGTCAAGAATGAAACAGAGATTGTCCTTTTGGAAATTTCGTAAAATTTTTCAGGAAATGAACTGTCCTGTCTTTGGTACCTGAGATACTGACTATGCTTTTTACAAAGAACTCAGAATTGCCTCAATCAGTGCAAACCCCAGACTCAAAGGAAGGGATGGGAGCCTATGAACAGACCAGGTGTACAAGAATCCCAGGTCATTCTGCACGTGGATGACCCCTTCGTTGCTTGCTGAGAAGCTAATGCATGTCTTTGCTCCTTTTTGACCAGACCATTCTCTTTGCCTACATCAATTTCACGTTTCTGCTTGTCCTGTATTCATTTCTGGACTTCTAGTAGCAGAATCTAGATGCGGTTGGCTGATTTGATTTCCTACAGAGCGTTCAGGGCCTGGTAGAAGCGACTGTCGAGAATGGTATGTTGAAGTCTCCGGACTCTCCATAGACTGAGTCATCGTGAATGTTGCTGGTCTTGTACGTTTTGCTTCAGAAGAGTCCTGCAATGGTAAACGGCAGACCGGACATGTGGACTGTTTTCTTAGCCATATGTCGATGCAAGAAAGGTGAAAGTTGTGGCCGCATTTCGGCATGATTCGCAGTAATTCTTTCTCTTGGTAGTCACCCAGACATATCGAGCATCTGTGCAGAAAGGAAAAGTATACTAGTTAACCTTGTTGTCATCTATCTTGCATTGTAATGCACAAATCCTATTCCCCACCTAAATATTGAAGCTAAGAGTGAGTGAAAATGAAGAAACTAAAATCAGTGACAAGACCATGAATTGAAGGGCAGGTTGGATAGAATGACCCTCTTATCAAACAAATGAAGGAAACCTGAAAAACTTGACGGTTGTAATTAAAAAGAAAATTCTTGAATGTGGAAACGAAATGCCAATAAATGTCTGACATATCTTTAAAAAAAAAACAAATGTCTGACATGGACTATAGAAGGTTTCCTCAACCAATTGGGGAATAGGACTTTGGCCATCATTGGCAAATGGAATGAAGTTTCTGATGCAAGAGAACGAATGGCTGAACTTACTGTGCATCTTCTATAGAACTGAACGCCTCGCGGTTGAACCTCAAGGTGGGTATTGCAGCAACCACCATTGGTTCAAGGCCTCCAATCTGTTGCTCTGGCTGCCAACAACGAAGAAATACTTAAAAATCCAAAGCTTATAACCGAAACATCTATCTGATAACTTGCATATGGGCAGCAGGAGACATTTAGGTATCCAATGATTCTGAATATATGAGTGTTGTGAGGACAGAGAATCAAATCTGATTCAAGTTGAAAATCCGACGCTGATTCAGGGAAAATTTCTTTCCAGCTGCATGAATTTTACAGCAATATATAGTACAACAATTGCAAAAAAGGAAGCAAGTTTTAGAGGTTCGGATTTTCAGTGCCTACGCGATCCCTACAATTTTAAGACACTACTGATCTGAATATTCATAATCACCAAATTATATAACCGTAAAAATCACGGCACCTTTAAAAGAGACCACCTGAACTTATAACAGTCACATACCATCTATACAGGTAACTTACAGGAGAACCAAAGGAAGAGAGGACAATGAGCAGGGGAAGTTCTTAGTTTTTACCAGACAAGAAAACCCAGTTCAAAGAATCAAATGTACCTGTTCAAGATCAATCCTGGACTCAGTCTGAAACATTTGTCTGGCCTGGGCCCCTCGAATTCTCCCACAGATTATTCTTGTACAAACAAATACAATAAAAGTGGCACTCATCCCAAAACCAATGATAGTCGTGATCAAATTCATGCCTGAACCGAACATGTTTAATTTCCCGTTTTCTGAACCAGCTCCAAACACCAACCAACAGCTTCAATTCCCACACCAAAACAAGATGTAATAACAAAGATTACCAGGACAACACCCCCAAATTCCTCTAGCTATAACAAGACAATAGACGAAGAACCTACTAAGACCTAAAAAAAAAAAAATATGGAGGCAGAGAGAGGGAGAAATGAAAACATAAAATAGAAAGAAGAAGAAGAAAATGAACAAAGACCAGATCAGAATTTCCCAAGAAACGGCATGTTTCAAGGCAAAACTGGGAAAAGACCAGTTTCTAATCACCAAACAAACCCACCCAAATGGAAGTATATCTCTTCGGATGGAGTCAACAGTTAATATTGATGGGCCATGAATGGATGGTGGGGATGAGGCTTGAGAGAAGAGAGTTGTGGAAGGAAGAAGACAGTTCGTTTCCTTGTTCTTACATCTTTGGAATTGCATTCAAGGGGTCCACTTGGTAACAGTGGACCCTCCGAGCTAAGGATTTTAGTACATCAGATTGTTGACATAGTAGCTGTTAGTCAGTTTCGGCGGCAAAATTCCAAGAGAATCAACTGTAAGGAAAAAAAAAGGTGCATGTACACCTTGCTTGATTCCTTTTTAAGGTGATACGTTTCAATTTTAAGGTAGAGGATCTCATGTAGATCTGTTGCTTCACAAACTGCATCCCTGATCTAATCTTTGCTGCTTTTGGATAAGGCCTAGTCTAGGTCCAATGATTAGTCTAGCAAAAGATGGATTCTTGTTTGTTTCAATCATCTGGTTCAACACTTTTAACAGCTCTTGAAGAAGAATACTTGGAACTTTTGGCTATTATTCATTGTTCTATCTATGAATATTGCTTTGCTTGCTAATCTGTTTTTCCATACACAAAGGAGATCCCATTAGAAGATGCTTACCTTGCTTAGCACGTCATTTTTTCTTCAATTCATTAGTTCCACCCACGTCACAGTTTACAGTTTTTTACTCTATTTGCCTAAACCAAGTCTTAATCGACAATATACTCAAGAACAATGATAATTAGCATGCACGCGTAATGCACAAACATACCATAAACATTTTTTGTCATCTAAACTACTTCCATGATTGAGTTCTTCAATGGTATGATTAACAGTTGACTTTACCCTTACCCAAATTTTCTATAGTTCAGTGATTGATTTGGATTTTTCGCCTATAATTGGCTGTTTAAGTAGTGGACCTTGTGTTTCTCAACATCATTATCATCAAGCGAGTTCTTTGCAGATACTATGCATTGACTTTCTTTTATCCTCATCGAGCTAAAACCTTTGGGTTTGGTTTGCAGATCATGTTCAGGCTTTACATCATTTTTCACTTATAACAAAGCAAGATGATTCCCTAATCGGCATACGTGAGCAAGGTAACCCCTTTTGCTTGAGGGGGTATCAACCCAATACTAGCTCAACCAGAGTCGTTTGCTTTGTGGTGGAATGAGGAACTTTTAATAATGGTTTCAACACGATCTAGCAACTTAGAAGCTCATAGAAGTTGCCCAAATGACGTCCAGGCCCATGATTTAAGGCTGAAATAGTAACTGCGTCCTAAATAGCTGAAATGCAAGTGAAAGGCAGACAGACAGAGGCAATTAAAGAGTGGAGATTTGCCGTTTTGTGAGCTAACCTCAAGGTTTTTGAACATTGTCATCAAGACAAGCAATTGTGCAGTAGTATAGAACTCATTTCCATGTCATCAAGACAGACATTAGATTCATGGCCTGTGTGTCTCCGAAAGTCTATACACGTTCAACTCACCCCTGGCAAATGCTAAAATCGATCTCACCATGTACAACATAAAAAAAGGAGTCAGTCAAGTAAGGTGTAAGGAGGACTAAAGGTAATAGAACATTATTCTCTACCTTCCCTCTCAACTTCATTAACTGCCAATTACAGACAATTCCTAGTATTACGCTTTTCCCAGCAGTGTCAGTGCCTGCAGAAAAATCTTGCAAATGCCTCTCAAGCATATCCAAGACGGTGAAATATAACTAGGCAGCTAAGATTCCAACTATGCTAAATTATCAAAATTCTTGGCACAAGGTTATTGATCTATGGTGAACCCGACTCTTTAAGTCCATTAAAAGAACTATTAACATGCGTAAAACCAACCCTCCATCCATCTGAGGTCACTGAGGCTGTCTACATGCTATATATTCACTCAACTAGACAAACTAAACCTAAAAACCAGGGAGAAAGCAGAAAAAGTGTTGGCCAGAAAGAGCAACTAGTATCCTCACTAATCAATTCAGAGCAGTAATGATTCATACTATACAAACCAATCTTCTGCGCCCATCAAAATTTACAATTTCACATCTTTTAGCAGCAGAGACCAAATATATATAAGGTGCCTGCAAGGCTGCAACTATATGATATTACTGCCTGCTCACTGCTGTATGTGAAGCAAAATGAGATTATTATCAGTTTATCGCCAACCAGCGGAGTAAAAACTACAACGTACACAATGCATCTAGATAGGTAGTACAAGAAGACCCGGAAATGCCCATCAAAATACGAAAGATCCAATTAAATCACAATTTGAAGGATCAATACTTGAATACAAAAGTTCAAGAAACAACAGCCACTCAAACAGCCAACTCAACAAGAGCAAGAAGCCAAGTCACGAAGCACTAGAACACTCCACAGAAGTGGCAACAGGCACCTGAATATCCTTGTAGAGGCAAACATAGGGTGCATCACAACCAATGTAAGGCCCAGTCCACTTCGCTTCAGCAATGTAGCTTGCATCCCAAACCGAAGCATACAAAAACATAGGTTTCTCAGGAAGTGCCTCACCTTCCTTTTTCTCTGCTCTCCTCACCACTTTCCCATCAATCAGCCACTCTATAGAATCCGGATTCCACTTGATCGTGTATTCATGGAACCCATCAGAGCAATCAAAACCCAGATCATGAATCTGCTCTCTATTCCCAGTACCTACACGACAATTTATACACAACCTTAGGAACAAAGTAAACCCTTACAGTAGTTAAAAAAGGGTAACTTTTTTAATGCAAGAATCTGTGAAATTCAAGAAATGTACTACTTTACAAAGAAACAATATGTTACTTTTTTGAAAGTAAGAAAAAGGCCGAGTCTTGAAACTTAAACCTGTAGTGTAGTAATTGGTTTGGACAATGGTTTTGTCTTTGCCAAGGAACTCGAAGTCGATCTCGTCCTGGGATTTGTCTCCTTCAAGGGAGGAAACATAGATGTTGAAGTTGAGACCGCTGGTGTTGCCTTTGGGGCATTGGATGAGGGAACTGAAAGTGCCATAGAGGAAGCGAGTGGTGGAACGCCACCTGGCGCCTCCACGGTGATCAAAGGTAAGTGCGATGGAGTTGGAGACAGGGCAGTGGGTGCAGGCCTCTGGAGTGTAGTCTATGGCTATTTCTCTGATGGGTTGGGTTTGGTGGTGAACTGCTGCATCTGCCATCGTCAAGCTTGCTAAGCTAATGAAAACAGAGAGTCTACTTTGGTGGTCAACTCTTGGGTAGCAAATGGGCAATCGAGTTTCGAATATATCCTTCTTTTAAAAGAGAAAGGGATATGGGATAATAACCGAATATGACATTTTGCTATGTTTGGGAACTATTTTGGAGTTAGAAGAGGAGAGAAAATGGTCAGAGGAAATTGGAAAGATTTTTAAATGGATTTTAAAGGAAGACATGAATTATTTTGATTAAATATGATTAATTATAAAGATTTATTTAACAAAAAAATTCATGTAAAATTATTTTAATTTAAAAAATTTTAAAAAAATGAAAAGGAGATTGTATACCTTCCATGCCTTTTCCTTTTATGGAGAGAATAAACTTGTACGTGTACTATGCCTAGCATGTGTTATCCCTCTAACCAAACAGACCAAAGCTCTTTTAAGCAGAGCCAACAGCAATTGGACTCCATCAGCAGTGCCAATCTTAGTTGTCTGTGACTGTAAAGGAAAAGGAGAGAGAGACTGTAGCCTACTAGATAATGGTAGCACACGTGGGACTTATCTCTGTCGGCGTTTCTTTTCCTTCTCTGCCTTCTCTTCCTCGACTTGGCTTCACCAAACGCAGACCATTTGCCAGTAAGCAACATTACACCAACACCATCTCCGTTTTCTATTCTGAGTTGTTTATGGCTGGATTTGGATGTTTCGGGACCAAGTCTCGGGGTTTGAGGAAACAGCCACTGTTGATTGAATAAGTTTAGTTCTGAAGTTCATTTCATTAGTCCATTTGATTTGAGAAGTGATCGAGTTCATTTCTGCCCTTCTGCTTTCAATTTACAATACTCCCACTACCCACCATTTACTTGATGTTCTTGTAAAAGAATTTTGATGTCTGTTTCTGCTAGAAGTTGCCTTAAACTGTTTTTTCCTCTTTTACTATGCTGAGATTTCTGTTTAGACTTAAGACCCAGATATAACCATCTATAATTGACACGGGCAAGTACTGCAAAAGTTCATATTTTAATGGATGAAACTGAAAAAATTGTCCATAGCTTTGGTAGTTTGAACTTTAGCGAAATTAACTTAAGGGGTCTGGAAAAATATTGAAACTTTGGCTGGTGGACGTTTTGAACTATACTCTTGTGCTTTTTCCTGTGATCTATGAAGTTGCTTGTTCGAGGACTTAATTTGAAACTGGTTGATAATTCATTTATGGTTTTCCTACAGTGGCAGCTATGAGTGAAGATCCTATCCAAGAATGGATTCTTACGGAAGGTAAGGCAACCCAGATTACAAGGATACGTCCTATAGGTGGCGGTTGCATCAATCTTGCAAATTGCTATGACACTGATGCTGGTTCTTTCTTTGTTAAAACAAACAGGTGTGGTATACAAAGTTTAAAATATTTGATGTATTAGGAATTTATAATTCAGCTGAACTATAGTGTTAGGTTGTTTCTTTTGCTTAATGAATTCTTGTTTGTCAAAGGAATGAAAGTTTTCATGTTATTGAAAACACTGGATCAGGAGTATCGGTCCATCTATGTTTGAGGCAGAGGCTATTGGTTTAGGTGCCATGTACGAAACTGGAACAATTCGTGTGCCTAAGCCATTTAAGGTAAGACTATAAGTTTACTCTGACAAGAGCAATTTGTTTCTTAAAGTTTCCTAAAGTGTTAAGGCTAGTATTATATGTGGAAAAACTTTCTAAGTATACCCTGTTAAGCATGTAGGTTGGACCCCTACGAAACAGCGGATCATACATCATTATGGAATTTATTGAATTTGGTGCATCTCGAAGCAATCAGGTGAGCCAGTTCAACTACTTTTTTGGTGGATAGTGGTTAAAGTAATTTGCCTCTGATCTCCTAACTGTTCATCATCTGTCAGTCTGAGTTAGGAAGGAAGCTAGCTGAAATGCATAAAGCTGGGAAATCAGAAAAAGGCTTTGGTTTTCCTGTTGATAATACTATTGGCAGGTGCAACTTTTAAGGCCATTATCATTCTCAAGCATAATGGTCATCATTCTGATGCCATTTAAAGGAAATTTTCCCATGTTTGCCATTTTACCATTGATGTTATTATGAGGAATTCATGATGGTCTGTATGCTTCAGAACTTCTGTAAGTTTTAACAGGTGAACCTGTGCTGCCTTTGTAGTACTCCGCAGATAAATACTTGGTGCTCTGATTGGATTCAGTTTTATGGAGAGCATAGATTAGGTTACCAGCTGAAGTTGGCACAGGACCAGTATGGCGATTCAACGATATACCAAAAAGGTTATTGTATATTATTTTCTACTTTTCTTCTGTCATATCATGATTTGCCATACGTACTTTCTTCAGATGATTTAGTTATTTACCTTGACAAGGAAGAATGGTATCTAGAGTATTTATGGCTATGACTACATTTGTCAATAATGATGTGTAACTTACATGTTATCTTGAGTGATGATTGCAGAGTATTTGCATGATTCTATATTATGCAAGAATATCTCCCGGTTTCTGGTTATTTGTGCGTGTTGGTAGTTGCATTTAAACTAGTGCAACTTAAGATATTAGTAATGACTACCTTCTTCTTGTATAGTCTAATCAATGAGATGATTCTACACTATATGAAGGTCACAGTGCAGCACTTTTTTTTTTCATAGGTACTTATGTGAAATATAACTTTTAGGATTTCCAAATCAAATGAGATAATTTGAGAAAGCATTAGCATGTTGGAGTAGAATATTGTACTCTTTTCACATACTTACAGGAATCCTATTTACAGGACAAAGACTTATAAAGAACATGGCGCCTCTTTTTGAAAACATTTCTATAGAGCCATGCTTGTTGCATGGAGACTTATGGAGTGGGAATATCAGCTCTGACAAGAATGGCGAGCCTGTTATTCTCGATCCTGCTTGTTACTGTAAGTCACTGTCTGTGTCGATAAACATCCGTATTGGTAGATTTCTTTTGCCTTTGTTAAGCTATTCAGAATTTTATCATTTTAATTTGCATCCCAACAGCCTAGTGCTCCAGAACTTTTTGGTGGCATTGTGTTTGAATCTAAAAGAATTTTAGGTCAAGTTATTGTGGAGTTGAGTTATCTATTGTATCCGTGGTAGCATGAATTTAATGTGGAAATAGCTGCACAGAGAACTAATTCACTATATTTTTGTGCCCCGTACAGATGGACATAGTGAGGCTGAATTTGGAATGTCATGGTGCGCTGGCTTTGGAGGATCTTTCTATAGTTCTTACTTTGAGGTATTAATCTTTGCATTGAAAGACATCGTAGTATCTTATGTAGTCATTAGCATTTGATTTCAAAAAGTTGAAGGTTTTGCAGCAGCAACCACTTGAGCCTCTCCTCAACTCATTCACTGTCATTCCAGCCAATGAAACTGCTCAAGCTTAGACTTTAACAATTGAGTACCCTTTATATGTCTTGATTTTGTCAAGTTAGAAATGCACCAGAAACAAAATTAAGTTGATTTAAGTGTTATAGAAAATCCCATCACTGCAACCTGAGCTCCATTTTTCACTTTCTTGTGCTTCTTCTGTTTACCAGGTGATGCCCAAACAACCAGGCTTTGAAAAGAGGAGAGATCTTTATCTGTTGTATCATTACTTAAATCACTACAATCTCTTCGGCTCTGGTTACCGCTCATCTGCTATGTCAATAATAGATGACTATCTGAGAATGCTGAAAGTATAGAAGATATCGAGACTGACAGTGCTTGTACACTTCTGTATCTAGAAATTTCATGTGAGAAAGATTATCTTTGGAACAAGTTTTGTGGATTTTGGTATTAGGCAGATCAATATACCCTTTTCTATGATGAATGCTCTATTCAAAAAATGGTGCTGGTTTCCTGTGCGCACATCTGTCTAGCATAAGCAAGCTTGTATTATGAATCTGATCATCCAATTCCCCCATCCTTAAGGCAAAAGTTGGGTAAATCCTCTTAATGGAAACAACCAATGTGACAGGAATGCATGTCAACATGGAAGAATCCAAAGGAAGAGAAGTGGCTAATTTACCCTTTGCTTAAGTGAAATATGGGCACTGCATTGAACTATTTCTTTCTCTGGTGAGCTCATTAAAATCTGTTATAATTTGGGTGAAATATTAGTTATGGTAGTAGTTCTACTCATTGATGAGTGCTGGGCTTTATCAGGAGAAATAATGGATGGCATGGCACCAACCTTTTCTCCCCTTTTTTCTCTCCATGCAGCCCCATATTCACTATCCAATCCTAAGGAAGGTCATATTTCACATCCCCAGAGTTCACATTATCTTCCATTGTCAATTCTAGTTGGGTAAATATTCATATTCTCAGCTTCTCAATCACTGCGGAGTCTCCTAGAATTAAGCTAATTTCATCATTAAGGCAATAAGCTACGAAGAGGTTTTGGTCCTGGTCTGGGCTTTTGTCCAATAGAAAAATGTCCCCTATATCTTTCAGAAACAAACTCCTGAGAAACTCCTCAGGCCCCAAGGACACATCTGCTTAACGTTAAATGTTCTGTTTCGTACTTACCTACAATCCTCAAAACACCCAAACTACTGTCTCCCATTCGAACCAAAAACCAAAGAACAGCTAGAAACGCGGTTTTCTATAGAAAGCAAAAAAAACATGGACAACAATATAGCCATGACTCATGCGCAGCTGCCACCACTACCGCCATCGCCTGCGGCGGCGGTACAATTATCGGAGCTAGTATTCTCACTAGAGCAAGCAACCCAGATGGCAAAACAACTCCCTTCCTCGTCAGACCCAACTTACCTCCACCAAATCTATTCCTCCCTCCATCAGGCCCATCATTCTCTCTCCTCTTTCCTCTCCGCCACCCAAACTCAATTTCCCGTTCCTCCTCCTCAGCCACCTGTACCACTTGTAGCCGCAGAGAACTCTCTCTCCTCCGCCACCGGCGCCGCTAATGACGATGGTAGTGAGCCGATGCAGGTGGGCGATGAGAATGAAGCTGAGGCCGAGGAGAATTCAAAGACATCAGTTGACAAGGTTGAGGAGAGGATGAGGGAATGCTTTATCAAGAATAAGAGGGTAAAGAGGCAGCTTTCGCCGTCATATGCGGCGGTGGCGGAGGAGGGGAGGATTTGTGAAGATAGATTCCTGGGTGGTGTCAAGGGTTTTGATTCCCTGAGGGATAAGTTACGGGCTTTGGATCTTGTCTACCAGTTTCATGGTTGAACCGTAGACAGGGCTGAAACAGAACAGGAGTTATTCAATGGAGCCTTCTTTTTTTCCAAGCAACTTGGTTCCATTGCCTTTTAATTTATTAATTTTCTTTTTTTCATTCATTGTTCTGTCTTCTTTTACCATTTGTTAATAGCAAGAAAGGAAGGGTAGGGAGGATGAAGGATGAAAGCATATTTGTAATCTCAAATTTAAGAGGAAATAAGATGCATCTTAATGAGATTTTTTTTTTTTCAACTTGTACAGAGCTTATATGAAGTTTATGCATTCCCTTCATCAAATATAAATATGCAATGATCATCTCACTATCTCAGTAATTTTCTTGCAAAAAATTATGCATGGATTGCTGTTTATTCATGAAATATGAGTATAAATGTATAACCCTATGAGAATCCCTGATTGCTTCACTTCCATGGCGTTTGCTTGCTTCCACTTCTTTGTTTCCTCTGCTTCCAGTGAATATCTCTAAGTGATTTCCTGTCTGCTTGACATTGAGAAAATAAAATATAAAAACACTTCCCAATTGCTAAAAAATGTGGGTGCTCAATTTGATGTCATAAGTTATACAATAGCAAAGAGTACAAACTCTTATAATGCACATGTTCTCCGTACAGTCGGTATTAAAGTAGACCGGTAAAATCCGAGGACATCTACATTAATATGTTATGATAGTTGGACCTGTATTGAGATTATGAAATAAGCATTGGGTGAGGTGTTCGAACAGGACTTGGAAAAAGATACATGGCAAAATTAAATGCTGGTAAGTCATAACCTTCATTACCCTCGAGATACCTCCTGTGACTGAGGCATTGCTTTTGAGATGGACTGTGGAGATCAACGAGACTTTTACAGTACTGTCCTCCATTGAGTTCCTAACTTAGATTGTGATTGTTCTTCTGCAAGTCCAACCATATGGTGTAAGAGACTGAATCTTCTGCCCATTGCTTATAAGGTAGCAAAAACCAGCTCTTCCTAGAAAGGAAACCATGGATATTTGCGGTAACCATATATCCAAGAACTGGGCTCACTACACTCTCACAATTAGATTATGCAGCTTCACAAAATCATCTAAGGTAAGCTCCTCTGGTCTTGACTGCATGACGGTTCAAGTGTTAATTAACTCTTTGCAAAGGTAAGATATATAATAACTTCTAGTTAAGCAAAACTGCATATAAATGAGAAAAAGTGAAGAAATTTTTACTAATGAAGAGAAAGAAAGTGTCAATTTTCATCGAAACTCACTGTTGTTGGAAGGCCAGCATCTCCAAGAGCTCTTTCAATCTCATTAGATGGGCATATGTGCTGGAGTGATCTCCTCAACATCTTACGTTTTCCATTGAATGCCGAATTGACCTAAGTTTATAATAATAACAGTTATTAGATAAAGAACTTGAAGATATTCCTTTATTTTAAGCAGTTATTTAAGTTTTATCCTCAGAAAAATATGAGGATATCATGCCAAAACAGGTCAGAAGCCAAGCTTGAACGTCTAGTTTAAGTTCCTGCATGGGCTATGCTGAGATTAGCTAATGTGGAAATCAACTAACCATTGAGAAAAAGCTTTTCATGGAGGCCACTGAAGGATAGTCTGGAGCTTGCTTCAGCTTAAATGTAACAACAGCTGCATCAACCTACAGAAACATAAAAAATGAAGCCTTCAGTACCCATCCTTTCAGTAAGTTTTCTCAAAGATGGTTCATGACAGTAGACCTCATCAGAGACAGGAGAAGCTTCTGCCAGGTGAAGGAAGATTAGTTTAAAGTTAAAATATCTCAAAATAAAAAAATATGATGCCTTAAAGGTAATTAAATGACTTACATTAGGTTGAGGAAAGAAATTTGTTCTTGGGACCTTAAACTTGTATTCAGGCTCTGAAAAAGAAAATCACAAAATATAAAGCATGTCACGAAAGTTTTTAGAAACAATCTGATGATCAGTGAGTACAATGACCAAATATTTCCCAGTTGCATAGAGTTAAAAGCTCAAAAAACCAAATGAATTAAGACCAGGCACAAGACTTAAGTAAATGAAAAGCAAATGATGCACTTAGATGTATAGATTATGTACATGATGTAATCCAGAACAAAGGGTTACATATTGTTGAAATACCTGAATAAAAATTAACAAAGATGTTGATGGGTCGGTACTCAGACGTCCGCAAAGACGATTCCACCAATCGCACAGCTGTTTCCTCCTGGTATTATTCAAGCATTACAGTCAGTAAGCCAGCTTGTGATTTCTAGAATGATCCAAACAGCCTGAGACAATCAATATAGAGAGATCAAAGATTTTACCATCTTCAACCTCGTGTTTCTACCTCACACATGATGCAGGTAATAACCCAAACATTTGTAGAATCTTTTTTGGCCAAAAACTCATCTAAAGAATTTGATGTCAAAACAAGGTAAAAATAAAATGTTACCAACCTGGAGCAAGAGAACAACTTCGGAGAAAATATCACCGATAGGAAGAAGTTGTTTAACTACATCTGTACTTATGTTAAAGGGTATGTTAGAAACTACCTGCAAAGAAAAGAGGTATAAACTAACAATGGATGAGATTGACATGGGAATTTAACAAAAAAAAGAGATACATCTATTATTCACAAATTGAGCTTCACCTAATTAGCATTTAAATCACATTAAGGTTCTGCATCTAACTTGGTTTCAAATAGAAAGTCATTTGAGGCAGCACTAAAAGCTATATAATGGCTAAAAGAAGCATAGTTCTTACTTTGGCCCGAGCCGAGCTCGTATTCAAACCCTTTCTATTTTCCAACATTGGCAACATATGAGAACGAATGTGACATTTGACAAAATCCTCTTGCAAAACCTACGAAATTTTCATATGATAATATTCAAAACCCAATGAAGATAATAAGTAAAGAAGTAATATTTAGCAGACAACCGCGTAAATTTACCTTGAACCTGTCCGTGCTTTCAAATCTTTCTCTTACAAGGTCCACCATGTGAGGATCCTGCATTACATTAAAAGAAAACATAAGCTACATTCTATATTAAAAATTCATTTCCAGTACTTGCGATGTTGAAAAGAACAGACCTTTTCAATTGCGAGAACGGTGGCGCCGGATCTTATAAGGACATTGGTTAAAGAACCAGTTCCCGGTCCGATTTCTAAGACCACGTCACCTTCTTCTACATTGGCCGCACGTGTCAGTTGCTCGTTAATCTCAGAATTCAACATGTAATGCTGCGTTGTATTAATAAGTGTTCGATAAAATTCCGTAATTAATTTAAATTATTTCAATACATAAAAAAAAAAGGAAAGAGATAGGACGGGTAATTAGACCTGGCCGAGGGATTTTCTAGGGAAGCGGCCCTTGGAGTTGAGCGCTTTGAGAGTGGCGTGGTAGTCGTCATCTTGGCTCCTCCTCGAAGCGCACGCTATTCGTAAAAATGGCGTCTGGGTTCGCGCGCCGGCGCCGTTATTGTACGCCGGAACTATAGCGGTCGAGAGCGACGCAATTGGCGGGAGAGAGTGGACGAGATGAGTTGCTGTGACCATGTCTTCCTTTGCGAGAAAATTGGAAATGAATTGATTTTTACAATTCTTTTTTAATTTATCTCCTGATATTTACATTCCAAAATTGCCCATCATAATTTTCAAAACTTACGCTTTTACCTTCCCTCAAAAAGTCAAAAATTAGCCCCATACCTTCTACTGTTGTGAAAGGGTGATAGTGTATTTATGCTTTTAGTCTT